TGCCTGAAGTTTACTCGCAGCTTGGCTTCGGAGGTAACTATAGACACTGTAGTGCAGATGGGAATTGTGGGTAGATTCCACCATGGAATGAAATGGGACAGTCTTGTAAGCTCTCAGGAAGTCTGTGGTCACTACATACTCCTTTGATGCCATTTAATGGCAACTCACTACCAAGGTGCAAATCAGGTGAAAAACCTGTCTGAAAGGTGTTCATTGGAGCATTTGAGTTATTTGTGAAAAGAGATAGAAAAGGAATGAAAAACCATGCACATTAAGGTAAGAGTTTATTTCTGGAGAATCTGTAACCCATCATCTATTGCAACGGCTATGAAGGGGTAGCTGGTTGCCTGCAGAAGGTTAAGTGTTGTCTGTAGTGTAAACAAGTGTATTCAGATGACAAAGACTGTCCTCTTCTGTTATTGTTTAAATAAACTTGGTTTCTTTTGTTGGAGCAGAAGCAGGAACAGTACATGAAGTCAAACTCACTGTTTTCACACTTCCATAGATCAACAGTGTTTTAGGCCAGACCAGTTAATTTAAAAAAAAGTTATGCCCATCCCACCCCTCCCTACTGCTTTAAGAATAGCAAATTTTGTTACATCTTTGATATCCCAACTAATTATTCAGAGAAAAAAACACAACTAGGTGGAGTTTGGCTATAGTTTACCCCTAACTTCTCACTCCTTTGGTGTACAACATATCGAGAGACAAGAAAACACTTGAACCTGAACCAACACAGTAAAAATAGTGAATTGTTGGCATCATAAAAAAACATGAAGTGATTCTAAAAGCTTAATAAATCTAGTCTCAGGAACACCACAGTCAAGAGTTAACTGCTCATGCTAAGTTTCACAAAGGCAGGATATGATCTTTTGCCCTTTGTTGTGAACCTGGCTGCACCCCAAATAGCAGCTACATTTCCATAACAGAGGGCTTCAGTTATGCAAATATTCTCTCTCAAGCCCAAGGACCGCAGAATGGTTAGGGGAAATTCAGCCTTCCCTAAGTAAAGTGTTGCACCTCTTTACTTAGAAAGAGGTGCAGAGCGAACCTTAGAAGAAATGCAGAGCGAACACAAGCTCTTCCAAATTTCAAATGCACAAAGCATCACTGACAATCATCTTCACTGTCTCAGCCACTCTGTATCAGCCTAGACCCCTTGAACTCTTATGCTAGAAGATGAATGGACCTGAGTTTGCTTACACTAACTTGGGATCCTGACTTAGGGTCTTATTATAAAAAAACTAGGCACTCACTGAGAATTTAAATAAAAATCAGCAAACAGCCTCCCCTTTCTTCTCAGAACCAGCCTGTAATTTGAATTTCCTGTGGTAATTTCATAATACAATCTCCTTTTGCTCTAAGAGATGAAGCAAGCTGGACAGTGGGGACAATGTTTCTGTTTGGTGTGGCATTTAGTAACTAGATGGGAACTCAATGTGTAGGCATTCCTCCTCCACTCATACTGCAGCTGAATGACTTTGCTGTGTTGATTTGAAATGATCTGACTAATCTCAACTTCCTCTAACAGTTTAATGAAATGTCAGAAGTTAACAAGGTCCATGGAATTGAAAAAAGACCATTCAAACAGTGATGAAAAGAAACACATGGACAGCAGTTTTTAAACAGTCTTTAGGCTATTGAATATAATTCAATGAGCTTTAGCCAAGCTGCAATATAAACACACTGAGACAAAAAAAAAAAAAAAAAGCTGTTTTTTTTTTCATCTGGACTGTTTAATCTATTTCAGGATACAAAAAGGAGGTATATAAGAAAAGCTGTAATTAGGTAAAATTAAAACAAAACAATTCCCCCCCCCAAAAAAAAAAACCAACAAAACCAAAAACAAAGAGACCCTTCCTGCCTCTCTTGGATATGCTGGTGTTTGGAAATACAAACCACAGAGCAACAGTTGTGTAGGACTTGTTTCACCATCTGAAATTACAGGAGGGAGAGGTAGAGATGATCTGGCAAGTTGAGTCCTGTTCCTTTCCAAGAGAAGTTTAATGGTGTTCTCAAGTGCAGAAGAAACTAAATACGCTGATCATGGATACAATCTCGCAGAATACCAACTCAGGGGGAAAAGCTTACGCTGTACTCCCCCATCAAGCACAGTACAATGAACTAAACCAAACATATCAGTGCTTTGTGTATCATGAACATTTTATTTCCTATGAAGAAGTTACTGAAAGCTCTACTAAAATAGCTTTTCATTACTGAAGACAGCTCCTGGATTCTGTGAACTGCTTGTGGAAATGAAGCAGCTGAAGAAGAGAGGGACAGTGTTTTGATGGTATTAGTTATCACCAAGCACTAATCCTTTTCCTGTTATTAATTTTTTCTCAGGTACCTTCATATCCTTTAAAAGGTGACACGTTTAGCACGGTTGTCCTCTGAAGCAAAACATCCTGAAAGGCAAAAACATTTTCCAGAGACAACCATCTCTTTCACCTCCCTCACTACCATTTCATTGCAGAGTCTGGCCACTGCAGCATCAGTCTGACTGTATGTACATAGGAGTCTCTAGGACTTCCCAAAATCCAGACTCTACATCCTAGATTCGACTGTCGTAGTGCTCTAGAAATTCTCTTCTCCTTCCCACCACAGCTCCAGCACTCAGTTATACTGCTGCTGCCTTCCAGCTTTCTGCTTTTACGACACGCTGGAGGGACATTCACAGACATGGGCTACAAAGGAGTTTGAGCAACCTTAGGACTGGACTGCACGTCCTTGCATGTAAATTAACACTCACCCAAAGTCCAGCACCCAAAGTTAGGCTATGCCAAGTCTGAGCAGTGATAGGGAACCAAACACTCTTTGTCCTCTCGAGCTGACTGCCCATGGAAAAATGGTTCTGTGATCATGTAAACAAAAGCCAACCCTTGTGTAAAAGCCTGGTGGAGGAGGGAGCAGTCAGGAGGTCGGGCAGGCAAACCATCAACCTGACGAAGTGTTCTGCAACCAAATGCCATTATCTTCACGTATTTTTGTACATGGAGTTCAAAAGACTGGACCTCTAAGAAAACAGACAACATTACATAAAATGCCCTCCCTGAGCCCCTCTGTTTGTATGATGCAACATTTGAATCTCAAATGCTTTTGTTGCACAGGTTATTTGAGCTACACATTTTAATACTTTAACAATCAAGACAGAATAGGAAAAATTATTTGTAGGAACAGATGTAGCTGTGAGAGACTGGAAGAGCAAAGGAAAACTGGGAGCCAGAAAGCATAAGAGAGATTCTGAGTACCATTATAAGATAAAGGGAAAAATCTGGGCCATGATAACATTAAGAAACTTGAACAGATGATGCTAGGCCATTACAGAGAAGGCAATGAGGTTAGTGCAAGCATGGATATAGAGTAGGTAATTATTTCTCTTGTCATTGCAGAAGACAGACCTAAAAGCCACATCATCTGCCCTTGTTATTAGAAAATACAACTCCTTCTGTTCATCACAAAGCTTCCACTGAAAAACTAATCCCTTGGTGTCAGTGCTCAGGCTGTGTGTAATCACACATCCACAGCTTCACCACACAGGCATGTCCACAACTGCTCTTGGAGCTTCCTGGGAATTCCCCTGGCTACTTATGCTTTGGCAATGTCTGAAGGACATACTGGGTTAATGCCTTAGGTATCTTGTGATCTGGATTTTAGCTCGATGGTATCAGCACAGACGATTGATTGCAGCTGCCTGAACCTCATGCAACAAAAATTTTAGTTCGCATCACTGAGTTATCACATAATAAGGAGGGTTGGACTGTCAGAGTGCAACGAGGCAGGGATGATGCCAAACAAAGAGCCTGGTACTGTTATGAAGAAAACCTTAGATGCTTACTCAACACCCAGAGCTGACAGTATTTCACCTGACAGTCTACTTCATCAAAGCATAAATGTAAAGACAGAATTTGGTATTTCCAGCAGAAATTATTTTTCTTTTGTGAGAAGGTAAGTAATAACATTTCACAATACACCATGGGGTCCACATGTTACTTTTTTTGCTCTGCTAATCACATGATGATGATGTGCTGCAAAGAGAACACAAGGAACTGAAATTAGCTGGCCAACACTGCAGATGAAGTGTGCATTTGCAAAGAATGTGCTCGCATGAAAAAAGACACTGCAATCTACTTCTGCTCTTTTAGGTCATTTAAGTTGCCATTAAATTTTAAAATATTACTTAAATTAGGATGCTGACATAGAAGAAAACCCCTGAAAATGCCAATCTACTTATACACTCCTAATTTGCTTCTGAAGCTTGTGAAAATCTCAACTGCATGTAATAAAATAAAAATAATACTTTCTCATAAGAAGGTGTATTTCTGGAGATGACAGTGGAATGAAATATTTGCTATCGCTCTAATGCTTACCACCTCATAATTCAAATCAAAGCTTTTAAACGCTTGTATAAATAAACAGTGTAGCAAGAAACTGTCTCTGTAAGGCAAAGCTAAAACAGGCTTTTAGAAAGGTACCGAATAATTTCTTTCTAAATATTAACTCAATCATTGTACATTGCACAACTGGAAAAAGAGACAGACACAAGATGCAATTAGGACTCTTCACCATGAACTCTGTCTTACTTAGGACTGTTGACTACTAGATCCTAATTTAATTCCACTAAAATCAATGGGCATTTTCCTATTAGCTTCAATGGCAAAGATAGAAGTCATGGAATCATACCCAGATGGAATATGGAAGAACATAATCAAACTGAATTACCTGCACTCATTAGGGTTTGTACCTATATTAAGCACTGAATCTATAACAAATCAGCACAAGAGCTTAATGTGAATAAGCCAACAATGCTTGGAATTCTGTATCTTTTTCCTTTCCTTTTGCTGTTCATCTTGTAAGAGCACACACAGGGTAAAATGACCAAGATGGGACAAGTACTTCTCCCTAATACAGAGCAGATAATGAATGTATTCTCCAATTTTGATTTAAAGGCACAAAAAGTTTCACAAGAAAAAAACAATCTGAAATAATTACAGTATTCAGCAGATAGTATTCCAAATCCGTATAATCTTTTATTCCATACAAATCAAAGAATATTAAGGAAAATGAGTGTCCTTTGCACAGTTTAAGGAGCCTAAGTCAAACAAATGGATTTACACCATTGCTAAAAAAATTCACATCGTTACCCAGAGAAGCACAGTAATAATCTAGTTTATGTTTTTCATTGTCTTTCTGATGAAAATATGAAGTTTCACCCTGCAGTGTAATTATTTTTCCCAACTCCTACTTCACAAACATTGCGTCACCCTAACTTTTTTCCTCTTTTACTGACTTTGGAATTTAGCATTGCTTGGAGCCCTCTTTCAATTATTTTATATTTATTATTTTAATGCACTGAAATTCTGTACGAAGAGGAGTTTTCACTCTCTCTCCAAACACAAAAATGACATTCCACTACTGTCTGGCAACTTAATATTGCATGTTTTGGGTTAATATACAGACTCATAGATGATAGGTGAGGGAAGGTGTCTGTGTGCTTACACATGTACACCCTCTTAGTTCATAAGCAAGTTTAAAAAAACTCAAGCCCACAACAAAACCTTCCCACATTCTTCTAGATGCTTTTGGAATTATCTAAAACTTAAATTCTTTTACTTCATCCACAACTCTGAAGACTGCTGGCTTTGTCTCCCTGCTCACATCCAAAATGTCTAGAGTAATGCAGTGGAAACGCACAATGAGAGACCACTGGAGTAATACCCTACAAGGGAGGGAGCAAGCCTATGATGAACATTGTGTACAACATGCATACCTAAAACCACATGCAACTCCTGACAAGGCAACTTCACAGCACATCATAGCCCAGTTAACAGAGTTGAAGTGAGGTCAAGCCTGGAATACTAATTTTAATTGTCTTGTTCTGATTTTTTTTATCCTTCTGGCTTTTTTTCATTATAAGATCCCAAATAACTTGTGTACATATTGGTTCTGAACAAAACACTGAGACATGAGTTTATTGTTTCGCTTTGTTGGAATTTCCTAGAGCAAAAATATTGCCAAAACAATTTAATAGCGTATTCAAAATTAAGAGTGCATTTTGACCCAAATGACTATAAATTAACCTAAAAAAAAAGAGAAAATACCATAATTTCTTCATTTTCCAAACAAACCAGGAAAAAACTTCAACAAAAGAGCATTTCAAAGAGTCACTGAACAATACTGAGAAAGCATGCTTGTTAATCAAGGTAAGGACAGTTCCCTTGGAGGAAAGAGTTCCACAGCCTGAGGCTGAAAGCTTTGTGTTTTGAGAAGTGTGCTGTAAAAAATTAAAATATTTGAGCATCATTAATTTTTGAAGTACTTTCAAAAAAAACCAGGAGAACTACATCATTCAAATCTGAACCACTTCACTTCTCATAAAATTGTGTTTTCAGAGGAGCAAAACAGTTTTCTTGTGAAGCGCCTGAAAAATGTGTTTTGAATTTGTTTCAAAGGTGCAGCTTTTCTCAAGATCATCACATTGAGGACTATTCTCATGCCTGACAGTGTTGCTCAAGGCTATTGCCAAATATCACAGTACCACTTGTGACAGCCACAGGGAGAAGAGGGAGTTTTCACAATAGGAATTGTGCAATCAGATTAGCCAGTCCAAGGAGGATTATAAAGATGTGAGTGATCAATGCTGGCCACGTCAGCTGCCCAGCACGGTGCAGAGAGATCATGTAGATGAGGGATGGATACACGAATACAAAGGCCAGACCACATGTTGCTCCAGAGTATCTAAGGGACAAGGAAGGGGGAGTGGGGGGGGTTGGGGGAGGGGGAGAGGAAGAAGGGGAAAAAAAGAAAGAAGGATTCTTTGCATTTATTCTTATTTTTTGTTGTCATCCCCCCCCCCTTAAATTAATGAAAAGACTGGATGAACACCATTTGCAGTCACTAAACATCAATTTCTGTTCCTTGCTGTCCTTCACCTTCTTCACTAGCACTTCATTATCACCCTCTGTGCTGTCCACCCCCTGCTCACTTGCACCCACACTCTGACATGCCTCTATCACTTCGTTTATGTTCCCTGATGCTGCTGGGCACTGACTCCTGTATCTCTGACTCAATGTTTCTACTTTCTTTGGGGAAATCTGTCAACGTGCAACAGAAAAGAGTCTGCACAGTGCATCCTTTGTTACACATTCTTTACCATCAGAACGGCAACGCTCATTACATCCCAGCCATCTGAAGACACGTGTTAACTCATGTAAGCATAGAAATGCTCCTAAATCTGCAACTCTTATTTACATTTATTTAATGAGCTTCTAGCAAACCATCCTCTAGACCTGAAAGGAACAACATGCCCTTCTAGTAAGACAATCAACCACAGCAAGGGAAACATGCAACTCTTCTTCTTCTAACTTCTCCCTTGCTTACAAAAACCTTCTCATTATTTTCACCTGCAGCCAAGTGCACATTATTAACTAAAAATATATTTTGTTTCAAATTTGAACATTCTTTTTAGACAGAGGAAACATCATAATACAGAGTAATCATCTGAAAAACAAAACCAGCAAATACCCAAGTTAGACTGTATATAGACAATGTATATCTGCTGGAAAATCACTGTTCAAAATGTCTAGTTACTATGCACAATATGGACACAATAGCAGAGGTCAGGATCAGTTTCCAAACAGAGAAATGTATTGTGTGATATTTATTCGTATTTAGACATTAGGACGAAATACTTTACTGTGAGGATGGTGAGGCACTGCAACAGGTTGCCCAAAGAGGTCCTAAACTCCCCATCCCTGGAAGTGTTCAAGGTCAGGTTGGATGGGGCTTTGAGCAATCTGGTCTAGTGGAATGTGTACCTGCCCATGGCAGGGGAGTTCTAATTAGATGATCTTTTAGATCCCTTCCAACCTTAAGGTCCATTCTATCATTCTAGGATTATAAAATGATGATTTACTAGACCTCCTCTATTATTGGAATACAAAAATTTTCACTAAAAAGAGAGGTAAAAGAAAAAAAGGAAATGGGAAAAACCCATAAAGATCAGCCACTGAGCAAAAGTAAGTCATTCTGCTACTCTGGTCAGACCCAAGCCCGTCATTCTGGTTTTATAATTGCAGATTTCTATATTTTTAAACACCTCCCTCTCCTGGTTGCTGTAGGAAAAATGCAAACCAGGAATGAATGACAATGCTTATAAATACGGTGATGTCAAATGCAGGAAAAAAACCCTTTTTAAGATTATTTCCACTAATATTTGCCAATTACAGAAATCCTAGGTGTTCATCAACATAGTAAACTTAAGAAATCATTTAGAAACACAACTTCTATGACACTTTTCTTTTTAAAGTTACTTAGTTTCTTGGAATTTTTATTGTGGATTTTCAAACCAGCTTCAAATGGTCTTAACACAAAACAAAAACTTGAGAGAAGCTACATAATAACCAACTTTTCTACTGACATCATATTCTTTTATATGTATAGGTCCTCAGATAGAGCTTCAATAAAACTGGAGAGGCACAATAACAGATAGCTGCTTGTCACAAGTTTAAAAAGAGCTGTTTATATAAGTCATTATTTAAAACTTAAGAAGCTGTAAGACTCACAAAATAGGAAGAGTCAACTATTACTGTTGCTTTTTAACATCAAGAGGTAAACACGTAGCAATGCCACAGGGAAGCTCCCTGCAAGCAACACTCACCTTATGATGCCTCCTATATTTGGATAAAATCTTGCCATCACTACTCCAGCTCCTACAATTGCAAGGTTCAGGGCGAGCACATGGAAAAGGCTTCAGGAAAGTGAAGAAAGAATGTTAAAATCTATGCTGTATTTCTTACCAAATACCACCATTATCCGTCATTTTCACTAACATTTAACTAGTACATGGGATGGTGTTTCCATTTGCTTGACTCACCCTATTAAATTTAATTAATTTCACAGCAAACATATAATCTAGTGAATATTCAGAGTGCCAATTTCTAAATATCTCCTGTTTTGACTCAAAATATTCTTAAGGAATAAGAATGCATAATTTGGCAATTCTTCCGAAAAAAGCCATACATGGTATTCAGCAATCAAGTATTTCAGATGGATGTTCAAATACCTAAGAAACAATAATGCATAACTTAATTCCCACAAGAAAGAATCACCTTGTTCAGAGAATAATCACAATTACTTAAAGTGGACTAATGGAAACCAGAAGAAAGGAAAAGATCCACTGAGTGGAAACCATTACATAGACTACTAGCAGGAAAATAACACCTTAAAACACTCTACTGCATTTTTACAGACGACAAACCTTTAAAGAGAATGACGGGTGCCATTTACTATATAGCCTCTGTCCTATTTACGCTGGAATTTTTTGTTGAATTTGTTTTTAAAAATAATTTTCCTGTTGCTTTCCTTTCACATTAAGGAGCTGCAAAGCAGCTTTTAATGCATCAGACAAATTCAGTCTAGTTATGCACAGAGCTGAGACTCAGGAAAGTATCACTTTTGAGAACATGAAATGTTGGCATATTTTAACATAAGGTAAAATCAGGAAATATAATTAAAACCTGTGGTATTTTGGTCACACAGCTGTTTCTATGAAAGGAAAAAAGAATTCACACAGAGGAAACCTACATACACTTACAGGTTTTGTTTATTCCTCTGGAGGATATGGTTTCCTAAAATAAACAAAATCTGTAAGCCAGGGCTATTTTTTTCTTCACTGTAGAAAGTATGTGTATTATGGAGGACGTTACTAACCAATAAACTTTTTAAAACCAACAACTTCCAAGGCTGAAAGGCTGCCTGCCAGTTTCTAAGTTAGGAAGAAAGATTAGAGAAACAGAGTAGTTTCATTGAAGTTTGGGGGAATGAAGGTAAGTAAACCACAAAGGAATAGTTTAAACTATAGACTATTTCTAAATTTCACTCTTAAAAACTGATTTCAAAAAGACAGAAATAATACCTTTAATTTTGCACATGACATTTTAACAGTGGCACAAGAGGTGTGCCTTGAGGAGAACTGAAGACTGCAGTAGGAATGCAGCAGACGAAAGTTTAACAAATCTTAATTGGATCTAAACTTGGTAAAACCCCACAAGTAAGAAATAAAATCCCAAGAATCAGACTTATTAGTGACAGAAGGACCAAATGTGTACAGCTTTCCTAATATAAGGAAAGCCAATTAACTAAACCGTTCACAAGAAGGTGTCTACCATTAAAATTCCTTTCTCCCCACACATACAGCAGCTTGCAAATCTTACTGTCAAATAGCGCAGTTGAAGCCAAAAGTTTATGAACACAGAAAATGACAGCACTTCTTCCATTCTGTTTTTACTGCCATTATTTTTTTAGCAAGAGGGACTAAAAGGAGTGCAGGCTTATTAGTTAAAAAATGTTTTGTAAATTTGTGTCAGTTCAGAGTATTTAAGCAGAAAACCTGAAAATTCTGAAGTACTTCATTATGGCATGCTTTAAAACACAAGACACAATTTTCTTGTTTGAAGCTATTCCTTCTAAAAAAATTAATTCCAGATCCTTATAACTTCAAAAGCAAAGTGGAGGGTGTGTGTATGTTTGGTGTGAAATGAAACATTTTTCAATTTCTTGTTCTGGGAAAAAATTACTGGGTTGCAGAGGGACAGTGTGTTTTGGCTCTATTGAAAATAAGAGTCCCAAGATGTTGGAGCCTCCAAAGCAACTCAGTACTTGTGGAGTACAGCTTTCCAGTTTTAATTGTTATAAGTAAGCAGGATCCTCAAGAACAATACCAAACCAGAAGGTCTGAAAAGGCTTTAAATCTATGTGTTTCAATGTGAAAGACCTCACTGCATTTCTTCTCCAGAACATCCTTGCTCCATATTCTTACCTTCTGAAACAGCCTGAGTTGTACCCATATTACTGGACAACAGATATTTAACCTGTGAACTCTTTCTTTTACCTAGGCAGATATTCATAGCTTATATCATCTCCAGGACAGGAAAAAGCCTCATTCCTATGGACAGAAAGGCACTATCATTTAGAAAAAAAGCCCTATCCTTCTGAATAAAGTAAAACCTCACATCTAAGGCTACTAGTAGCTGTATTATTTGATATAGTACTTTTCATAAGACTGTAAAGTTTCACATAGGTGTATTCCAGACAGGACAAACATTTCTCATAGCCTGTGATATTTTAACAACTTCTAAATTGCTCAGGTTTTGCCTGATAGTGGCATATGGTACAACTAATGTTGCCACACATTGCAAAATGAGGTCAGGAAAACAATGTTTTTGGGGGGCATCACCATACTACCTCTGCTTATTACAAAAGTAAGAAGAAAAGTATTTAGATGATGTTAGACATCAGAAAAGGTTTGGCCCATTTTTATCTACTACCCTGCTACTATACAGATGTTTTCTAAGCAGTGTAACTTTCTTCCTCATGGTCCATGGCTGCAGAGTTGGGCATTGCAGGGCTGGACTTCTCCACCTGGGCAGCCTGGCTAGGCTGCTGCTCTGAGGCACAGGTTGGGTTGCCTGAAGGAGGCTGTAATTCACACAGGAGGCACACCCATGGCAAGTCTTCATATTCTGTCCTCAGTCTCAGTATTCTGGGTTCAACAGACGAAGGCTCTAGGTCTTTTCTATAAAGGGAATCACTGTTCACCTGCAAAAATCCTGCAATCCCACAACAATGATAGCAAAACATAGGAAAAAAAAGATTTAAAAAAATTCAAGCTTTCCCCTAAATCTTTCTTTTTTTCCACATTGCAAGGTTAACATTTCAGACTGACAAAGCAGAGAAAAAATATTGCCTGAAGATCATAGGAGGATTTGCTCCATCAAGTTCTCTCCTGTAGAACTGGCAGTTACACTTAAGTCACTGAATAGCAGTGACCATATGTATCTAAGTAACTCTGGCATCTTTAAAGTAAGAATCATGACAAAAATGGTGAAATCAAACCATAGTGCAGGGGAAATTCAAAGAAATAAACTGATTTTAAATTCCCTTGGGTCAGATGCTGGACTCAGCATGGAGCCACAAGGTGAATAGACACAACAAAGAAAACTGGAAAGCAAGGAAAAAAGCAAATCGGGATCATTTAAGTAAGAATTTTTGAAAGGTTACTGTATCTGAAAATGCATTTTCTTCATGGAAATCTCACTCAAGTGACATCGGTCAAAAGACTATGAATCACAACCACCAAGAAGCAAGACAGCAGCTAGGTGAAGAGCAGATAAGCAAGCATACACAAACAGCAGAAATGTATTTCATTGCATCAGAAGACATATATCTGGGGGAGAACTGGTAGGTCTGTCGGGCTACCATGGAGTAAAGGGGGGACAATCATTTAAAAAAGCAAAGTGATTTTTGTCCATCAGCTAATTTAACCTCTCATGACAGGAAAGACGATAAAAAATTTCAAAAAGTTATCAGATGGCTGTAAAAAGCTTTTTTACACAGCATATAATTAATCAAGGGAATATCTGTCACAAGTATCAGTGTAGCCAAGAGCCAGAAACAATAATAAAAAAAGTTGGCTTTCTGTACATATAAGAAGATCCAGAGTCACATAAGAAACAGCAGATAAAGTACATGCCTCTGGCTCTAAGTCAGCTGCTTAACAATGCCATTACAAACATATCTCACTTTAGAAAAGAAAGTCATTTCCCAGCACACAACATTTTAGCCTTCCTTTACACCAGCAGAGAGAGCAGAGAGAATGACAAGTTCCTTGGGTTTTGTCCCAGTACATCACTATGTTGTAATCTGTACACTAGCATATATTTTGCAAAATGAACGAATGAATTAGGATGTCTTCTCTTGTTTCTAAATCTTTTGTAGTAAGCAGAGAAAGTATGAAGGCTCAGTAGCATCAAGTGCACCTTCAGCACCAAGCTGTGTGGGACAGTAAACATGCTGGAGGGAAGGGACGCCATCCAGAGGGACCTTGACATGCTGGACCAGTGCAAACCTCGTGAGGTTCTACAAAGCAAAGTGCAAGGTCCTACACCTCAGCCAGGGCAATCCCAGGCACATCTAGAGGTTGGGTGGAAAAGTGATTGAGAGCAGCCCTGGAGAAGGACTTGAGGGCGATGATTGATGTAAAATTCAACATGAGCTGGCAATGTGTGCTCATAGCCCAGAAATCCTGGGCTGCATCAAAACAGTGTGGCCAGCAGGTGAGGGAGGTGATTCTATCCCTCTACTCTGCCCTTGTGAGACACCACCTGAAGTGCTGTATCTTAGTCTAGTGGCCACAACAGAAGAAAGACATGTAACTGTTGAAGCAAGTCCAGAGGAGGGCCACGAAGTTGATAAGAGGATTGGAGCAACTCCTCTGCAAGGACAGGCTGAAAAAACTGGGCCTGCTCAGCCTGGAGAAGAGAAGGTTGTGTGGAGACCTCGTAGCAGCCTTCCAGTATCTGAAGAGGAAGCCAGAGAGGGGCTTTTCTTCAGGAACCATAGTAAAAGGACAAGGAGTAATGGGTTCAAACTGAGAGCACAGAAATTTAGGTTAAACATACAAAGAAACTCTTTACTGTGAGGGTGGTGAGAAAAGATTGCCCAGAGAAGTTGTGGATGTTCCATCTCTGGAACTGTTCAAGGCCAAGCAGGACAGGGCATTGAGCAACCAGGTCTAGTGAAAGCTAGAAAGTCCCTGCCCATGGTAGAAGGACTGGAATGAGACGATCTTTAAGGTCCCTTCCAATCCAAACCATTCTATGATTGTATGTGATGATGCCTGTCTGAAGACTACTGTACCCAGCATGCCTACACACATACTTGTTTTTAAGATAGGCAGAGACACAGGTGACTGATATTGGTACATAAGGGCAAGAGAATCCTTCTTAGAATCAGGGGCACTTTTGCTCTATTCCTGACTGCTGGAAGACACAGGATACTCATTTTCTCTATACTTCAGACAAGCAAGCCCCCATTGTTTAGCTGATGCTTGATGTGAAACCTCTGAGAAGAAAAAGTTATTTATTGTCTGCTTCAGCTTTTAAGTTACGAGAGGGCTAGCTGCTTCATCACTCAAGACTATGGGTTAGTAGGATACACTAAATATATGCACAGCAAAGTGTTGTTAGTAAAAAAATATGACTACAAAGTATCTAAAAATCATGGGACAGAAGAGAAGCAAATCAGTCTTCAGACCATAAAGGTCCCTCTGAAGATAAGTAAATAGTTTCTCATTATAATCCAGCTATAATCCATGGCCTATTAGCAAAGAGAAAAGGTTATGAACTGGGATGTTGCTTTTGATAGAATTTGCTTTGGGTTATACCAATTATCAAGACTATGAACTGCAAGACAGAAACTATTATCTTGGTGCTTCATTATAACCAGTGACAGAAAATATGAAAGAAAAAGGAGTAAAACCCAAGGAATGAAATGGATCTGACCAATACAATCACTACTAGGAAATAAAAACTATCTTTCAGCCCTGTAAACATGTGTGTGATAAAGCTATAAGCTTTAAAATGCATCCCTGCAGCCTTCCAAGTACTCCTTTATGGCTATCTGTTAACTCCATCCATAGCAGCAGGTACCCACATCTGCAGCAACTGCTGATTTAAATAAGCCTGGGTTTTAAAATCAGTGAGCCTCCATGTGGAACAACCCACAGCTTAAAAATGAAGATAAGAAAATTTATAATGGAGACTTGGACCAAATGGACCAAAAGTAGGAGGTGTTTTTGTGAAGATTTTGTTGTTGTTGTTGTTGTTTGGACAATTATAGCCAGAAGGCAAATTTATAACCTTCTCTCAGCTGCAAAGAAAACAACATAGGAAAGATGCACACGTGGAAAGACATGATATAGCACATTGAATCACGGGATTAAAGGAGGCTTTAAAAAAGATTCAGCTCTTTTCCTCCTGCTTCATCCTTTTAGTTCACTATTAACACCAAAATCTTCTTCAGACACATGACCAAGAATATTCTCTTCCATCTAAGAGCTACAGCATGAGTCTCATGGTCAGTCTTATAACTGCCCTGGAGCTGTTAGCCTCGATTATTGAGAATTTCAACAAAAGACGCCAAATTTATCAAACTACTAGTAGAGTGCTCATTTTCCTACACAAAACCCATGGAAATCAATATTTCCAGGTAGGTTCTTCACCGTGGATCAACAGGTTCCCCAGACATTAGTTTATGTCACTAAAAGCTACACCTTTGTATTTGCAAAATGTTTCTCCACATAAGCAGTTTTGGGAAAAAACAAAAATACTGAAGTTTTTCCTAGAGAGGTGATAAAGATACAGTGCTACTAAAGGACCCTTGTCAGCTTATGACTGAGAACCAGTCATGAAGACACATTTCACAACCAGGTACTAAATCTTTACTATCTTCCCATGTTCTGTGTTTGCTACCAGCCTTCAGTTAGCCCTCATTGCATAGAAAAAAAACTAGGGCTGACCTTGGTCATTGTAAAATCACAAAAGCCAGAATCTGAAGGTTATTTGAGTGATTTTTGTCCTATATTTAAGACACCTGGAATACTAGTGAGGGAGACACAGCCAATAAGCCAGAACATGCTACCTTATCACTATAGGTCAGAGCAATTTATGTGACTTCCTAGAAACTACTTTTGACTTCTCAGAAACTTTAAATGCCTCCTAAAAGGAGTCTTTAAAAAAAATTCAATTAAAAAATAAGTGAAGCTACCCACAGGACATCCTGGAGACAAGAACCAAGGAAGTATTTGCATCACCACATTCATCATACCATGAAGGCTTAAAACAGCAAGCTGGAATTAACCTGAGAAGAGACAGGAATGATGCTGTAGGTTCTACGAGAGGGCATGAAATGAAACCAATTCTGGCCAGGGAGTAGCTGGAGGGAGGAGATAGGAAGAGGCACATGCACATAATATAAAGGACATGACTACTTTTCAGTGGTTGTGAAATCCAAGTTTAGCACTTAAATAAATGGCCTTGTTTCCAAGAGTAACTTGTAGTAGTTCCTAAAAATCTCCTCAATGCTGAACTGCATACAATTTAGCATCAAAAAAAGCAGTCACTTATTTCACTGTCTAATTTTGGACATTCAATTTCTAGAACTTCTGATACCTATTTTAGGATTCAGAAGAAACCTGAAACTTGGAACATCATCTTTGCAGACCTGTATGCTACTGCTGATGCCACAGAGGAAATATACATTTCTTCCTGAGAACCCGTTTTTATTTTCTCCATCAACAGTAATTCACAACATAAAATAAGAAACTTGGGAGATGAATGCCAACTTCTCAGCTGTAATAAATTCAGACAATACTCCAAATATAAATGTCATAGGCTTTATTTAAAAAACAAACTAAAACTGAAATCTAGATCAGCTCTTCCCTGGAGTTCAGAAACTGTACAAATGCAGGGGTGTGGCTCACCTCTGAAATTAGCATGTAAAAAGCTATTTTTATAAGCATAGCAGGAGTCTAGATAACACAACAAACAACTCTGTTAGCTATTAGCTCTGTTTAAAAACAGATGGATGATTACTAATCATGCACAATCAAAACACAGCAGGCACGCTGAAAGGTTAATATCTGGAGCGTATGTCCTTCACATCTTAAAGACTACTAGATTAAATGCTTCTGGACTAATCAGTCTTTCTTTCCTGCACAACTTCTGTTTTGCCATATAAATGCATAACACAAAGGAACTGTGTTGACAAAATTCCTCTGCTTATTGACAAAATGAAGAGCTAAACCAAAAGAACATCCCCTATCTGCTCTTCCAAGCTGTAGGAGTTTGAAGGCAAGTTTATTTTACATGACTATTTATCCTAAATCCACAAACAGTGTGAAACTAGGTTATGAAATGTACCTAATGTACAATGAAATCTCCAAAAGCCTAGCCAAATTTCTGGCAACACAAAGTCAGTTAAGCAAAGTGCGCCAAGCTCTTGTCAAGGAACAGAATTCTTACCTTGGGTATGCATTTCCAAAAAACTGTCTCAGCAGCTGAACTCGTGCCAGATAACCCAACAGTGGGTATACAGTCATCATCTGGAACAGCAGGAATATTCTTGCAACAAACGACATGATGTCATCACTGGGAAAGTTATCTAGAAAATTCTGGACACAGAAATAGTGTTACACTTATCAATGGTGGCTTGACTGTATGTATCTGCTCATTTTAATATCTATGTGTCAGAAAGAATGGGATAAAATCCAAGCAACTACAATTGCTAAATGAACTCCATAACATGAAATACCTCCTCTCTCTTCTATGAATGGTTTGCTACAAAATATCAATTGATTTTTGACTATTACTATGCTGGTGTCAATGTTATGTTAGTATTACATAAGGAATTATTTTCTAATCTTCTGAACATCCTTCCAGGCTGTGGAAGGGCCAGCTGACCTTTTAGGCAGATAGTTTCTTATGCTCCTATTACCTGTCATATCTTACATAGTTATTAAAAACAATTATTTAATAAGCAAAACTGCAACATACACAAATGAGGAAGGGATCATATACTACAAGCGGGAACAGCTGAGAAAGTATTATAAGACTCAAGCATCATAGAAATAGACAAATGGCTTCATAAACTACAGAAAATAAATGGGAAGAAAATAATCATCTAACAGTGAACTTAATTCTGTGAAGTTAGTTCAGGTGGTTAAAAAAATCATGTCATGGTTTAACAGTGGTACCAGTTCTAACTAATCCAAAGTCAGAGGAAGTCTTTGAATGCTGCCTTATTGCTAAATGTTATGCAAGAGACATGGAACACCTGGCATAAAATGGATTTCCAACTGATAACTTGTATCTCTGAAGCAATTTATGCTGTGGAAATCAGGCTTGTCTATAAGCACATAAGAGCTTAATAGCCTTCACAAGGTGTTTCATGTGGTGCTATTATCTGAGGAACTCTGCTGGCAAGGTTCACCCCAGTGCTAGGCTCCAAACCTACTGAAGCTTGCATTCACATTTTATTTCTTCCAGAGTCCCAATGAGTGGGATTGGTCACTGCACACACAACTAAACAAAAACTTTTCAGAATCGAAGAAGCTAAAAAAATTAAAGTCTCAACTGTTCACTTGTTCATTTTGGTCCTTTCTTCATCACTTTCACAGAGTATTTATAAAATGTTTGTTTCTTCAGAAATATTGGCAACCATACATGAATATAAATGAGATAACACAAGCATTACTCATCTGGTTGTGATAGTGAGCCACCTGACCACAGTCAAGGGCAGATGTGTCTGCCAGGGTAAGTCATGAAGACTGAAACAGTAGCTGTTCCTTTTTTATTACATATTTAGTAAAAATTTAAGGATAAACATGGTATTCTAGAGTGCATTAGGAAGAGCACTGCCAGCAGGTCAAGGGATCCTGCCCCTCTACATACATATATGGCCCAGTGAGGCCATATATGAAGTGCCATGTCCATTTCTGGGCTCCTCAGTACAACAAAGACATGGAGCTCCTGGAGCAGGTCCAGTGGAGGGTAACAAGGATGATAAAGGGACTGGAGCTTCTATTATGAGGAAAGGTTGAGGGAGAGTTGGGCTTATTCCCATTGGACCTTATCAATGTATATAAGGATTTGAATGGAGGGTGTCAAGAGGACGGAACCAGGCTCTTCCCAGTGGTGCCAACCAATAGAACAAGAGGCAATCTGAATGTGAGGAAGAACTTCTTCACTGTGCAGGTCACCATGCACTGGAACAGGTTGCCCAGAGAGTGGAGTTTCCCTCAGTGGAGATATTCAGGAACCATTTGGATGCAATTCTGTGCCATGTGCTTCAGGATAACCCAACTTGCGCAGGGAGGTTGGACCAGATAACCAACTGTAGTTCCAACCTGACCCATTCTGTGATTCTGTGAAATAGATACAGCAGTAAAATGTCTCACCTGTTCAATACATTCTTTGGATAATGGTGGAGAAGGAAAAGATGCAAAAATGATCACTCCAACATACAGATATGTTAGTCCCACCAGGAAGTATGCAATAGAGAGATCTCTCACCTGAGGAAAAACAAGATTTTATTTTGGCACGCACTGGCACACAAAACCAGAAGAAATAAAAACGTCATGAGAGTATGTCTACCGCCTTTATTACCGTCACTTTTATATATATTAGTTTTTTATATTTATTACTATTACCAAAACATTTCTACTTTCTACTGCTCGAATAGGGACTTCAGATCAGAAAGCTGTAAGGAGATATCCCAAAGTGAAGCTCAACAAGTGTTATTTTCTTAAAATACAGATAAGGTACCAAAGAAGAGAGTTGCCAATAGATGTAGCATGTTATTGCAGGATGCACAAACACTAGTTATTAAAACAAACAAGAAACGCCCTCTACTTTCTAACATTCACCTATTCCTGCTAAGAGCCCTGAGACACAGTCACACTTGTCTAAGACAGAAAGCCCAGCAATGCCGTTCTGTTAAATTTCTTATCACAAGTAATATCTCATAAACAAAGATCAGCTATCCAAACGCTGATACAATGTAAAGAACATTTTTTAAGAAAGTACTTTGGAACCTAAGAGGATGGTACACTTCCTCCAAAACAGAAACTAATATATCAGGCTTCTGTATGAATGGAATAATAATGGAAGAGATAGCTAGTACACCATTACATAAAAAAATACAAACAGAACACAAAAGAGAAAGGTATAGGTAGTCACATATATGTCATATATATGTGTATATATATATATATATATATGTGTGTGTGTATAGGTAGTCATATATATATGCGTTGCCTTTAGTATTGTATTTTATAATAACACTTTCATTTTAAATTACCTACCCTCTTTATTACTAAATAGCTTTAAATGTCCCAGGGAAATGCACTAAATTATAATCAAAGGTTTTCAGGAGTCAGTGCTGAAACTAGGGTCATATATCCATATTTAAATATATTACATATACTTAAGTATGGATTTAAACCTAATCTTCAATGTACAATTCTGAAAATTTTGGCTATATTTATAAAATATCTAATATATACAAATATTTTTGACTACACAAAAAGAATTAAACTATTAGCAGCAAAGCTACTCAAGTACTCCACAAAACTTCAGAATCCATATATACATCAGAGTGACCTCACAGCAATGTACTTGGTGGGTCACTCTTCTACACAAATTCCTTCTTTTGGAAATAAGGAAGACCATTTGTTTCTAGTTATTAACTAACTATATTCTGAGTAGGCTTATGTTTTATTACAAAACACTCATCGCCTTACAGCAAAGCATTGTTCAGCTGCTGCTAATAATTAGCTTCTGAAAGGATTACTAGTAATGTTTCAACATGTGACTCTATTTTCCTAAGACTGAAAAGCAAGTCTTACTAGCTCAGGCACAGCACCAAATTATTAGGATTATACTGTTTCCAGCCCAGGATGATAATTATGATAATCCAGTTAGCTCACTGAGCATGAGCAAAGCTTGCTCACATCTGTGCATGGAAATGTTTCCCTTGGTGCTTCTCCACACTACCTTGTTGACTAAAGAAGCATATTTTATACTGCTCTGGGTTCTTCCAAAGTCAAGGCAGTCCCCGAGCAAAGTATAAAATGCTACATTACGAATCTTAAGAAAAGTTCAGATAGAAGCCAGTTTTGGTGAGCAAACTAGAATCTCCTGCTCATTTTGCCAGTGTTTTCGTGGTGGAAGATTGTTGTCTGATGAGAAATATTACTTGCCTTTTAAAAGCAAATGGGAAAAAGGCATCAATGTGCTAGAATGTGTGCCTTGGGGCAGCCTTCAAGCCCCCAGCAGCTGCACCACATTTCTAGCTGCAACCTCTTCCTTCTGCTGACCAGTTAAACAAATACAGAAGGTGTTTCCCTGGTCTTCACTCTCCTCGTACTGGTCACTGAATAAGAACCATCAACTCCCATCAGAAGCTGAGCAATAACGTTTCCTTTAAATTATTTGCAGAACTTCTCCTCTGTGACATGAGAAGCTGTGCAGGTTTTTATATAACAACTACATCTTCAAAAGCACCAATGCCACTCTAAAAACTGATTTTATAAATATCAAATCCGAGCACTGAGATTTCTTATAGTTATTTATCAGCAGCTTCAATTAACTGCACATGTCAGAGCCTAATCACAGTTTTGCAGAAAGATATGGACTCTCATCTCTTGGAGACAGGACTTGGACAACTGTTCAAAATGCACCCAAGACCTTAATGCACATCATCTGCCAAAACCTGCTTTAAATTCGGTATTTTAGATGTATTCCTCATGCATAAAAACACCATAGTAACTCACAGTTTTTGTTTGTACTCTGCCTACATTTAAGTTCTAGAACTAACTGTACAACTATTTTTGCTGTGACAAGTACACGAAGTTGTGAGGGCAAGAAATCTGAAATAAAATTCTAAATGCCTTCTTTAGCCTTCACATAAATAAAGGTAGCTGGTGTATTATTAGCTCCAGTTATACTAACCAGTTCATGTTTTTAAAATTCTTAGGGGTATATGCTTTAATCTGTACTGAAACTAAGTGCTGAGATAATTTTGATAATGTATTTTTATAGCATGTAACACAATAGCCTGTTTTCTTCAAGTGCTGTCATACAAAGAGTCCCCAGATTTTGGTTTCCATAAGCTACAAGAAAAGAAATACAGACAACTCAAAAACCTGAACTTATTTTTCTCAAACATCCATCAGTCCCCTTGCAAACACATGCTTCTGTATATGAGGTAGTTATCTTTATACAAGAATGTGTGTTTGTGTATATAACAGGAACATCTTTTGATTAATGTTCATTACTCCTCAAGAGGCCTGGGTTCAGTCCCTTGACAATAAAGTTTAGACAGCACAATTCCAGATAAAACCAAGGGACACATAGGGAGAGATAAAAGCATTGATGTTAAGTAAGAGCATTAATTGCATTTTTCTATTTAAAATTTGATACTTGAGACATTTATATTCAGAACGGACATCATTGTGGTGAAAGCTGCCCAAGCATGAGAATACTGCAATCCTCACAGCCAGAATTTAAGAATCAAATGTAGAAAAAAACAATGGCTGGAAGAAGAAAGCATTGTGGGAACCAGAGCAGAAGGGAAATATCAAAGGTAAGATGCAGGACAGTGTCCATAAATATCACAGCCTGACAATGTCAAGCCCTTATCAAGTGCACCTGAAGTAACAGGCAGATTTCTGAGGTGGAACTAGGAGAATATATGTTACTGCAGTTACTGCTGACCAGGAGCTTTCCTGGTCAAATATACAGAGCAAAGGAAGTGCCACTAGAAGAACTGAAAACTGGGTGACCAAGGCTGGCAGCAGCAGTAGAACAAAGGAAATCAGCCTCCTAACAAAAGCATGAGTGATAAATCAGGTGGAGCTGAAAAAAAACCAAAACACTTCTGAAAGTATAAAACACTGTATCCAACCAACAGACTAGTCAGTATGCAGGCGCTGACCAGGCCTGTGGCACAGGACTGGACACTGCACAGTGAAGTCTCTGGGGCTCTACAGGTACCTCCATGATGCCGCAAAGAACAGGCAACTTTCAGGTCTCATTTTGCCTGTTGAATCCCACAGAGAAAACAGTTCACTCAGTACCTAGCGAAAGCTAGTTTGGGAAGTTGCTTCTTGAATAAAGAAGCCTGTATCACTCCTTAGTAATTATTACCACATTCAAAGTACCTTTTGATCATCCCATTTCAGACTGTGTCGCTTCCCAAGAGAGATGCTGTTTCTGTAATATCACAACAGGATATCATATTATAAAAACTTCACCTGTTCAAGCATCAAGGGCAAGTGACAACATTTAAATGGGTGACAAAAAAGTACTTCACCAGGATGGATAATGCTGTGCATAATTTTGACTGGAAAAAGACACAAATGGTAGGTTGCCATAAATGGAAGCTCACAGCTCACTCTGTTTACAAGCAATAAACAATGTTTCAATACAGAAAACAACAACCATTTACAGCTCTATGCCTTCTGCAGTTACTATGTGGACAAAAAACTTCTCCCCATTCCCTGCCTTTCTCCCAGCTATTTCCACAAACAAATGGCAGAATCTGCACTAGCATGCTCATGCTTGTAGATCATGCTCTGGGCTTGTGCAGCATCTGTGTAGTTGCTCAGAGAAACAGATCACAGACGTGAATCAGAAGAAAACTCTACAAACAAAACCCCCAACTAAAGACCTTTCAGTGGCTGGGTTAATTTTCAATGCAATCAGTTTTCAAACCAGTTGACTAAACACTGTACAAACATTTACACTGATAAGTACAAGGACGTATCAGGAGGAGATGCAAACAGGAAGTCCAGCTTTGAACTGCAGACTAAGAAACCTGCTCACAGGGCTTCTCCAAGCTGTGTTGCTGACACTTGGCTTACTTCAAGACACTGCTGTTCTCACACCCACACCACTGTACCAGAATAGAAGCCAGAGGAATCCTCCCCCATGAATGTTTTAGCTTTGGGCTGTGATACACGCCTGTGACCAGAATGGAAGCATCTATTGTTTTGAATTTCTAACTCCATAAAAGGAACGTTATTGTTTCACTTATTTTTTTCTACCTCCCCAAAAAGTTGTTCTATGACCACTAGTTTCAGCAAGTTGTCTTCAAAACTAAAATAGTGTTTTTCTAGCTTGCCAAGTTCTGTGCCTTTTCACAGAACTCTGAAGAAAATGATATGTTGACAGGTCAATCCATAAAACAGTAGAGTTTTTATTCATGGAGTTATATCAGTATCTCCCCATGAGATACTTACAGAATAAAGCATCTTGGTGTCATAAATAGATAGAAAAAAACCCTGACTTATGACAGAAGCTGAGACCCCTATACATACGTAAATCTCCCACTTAATCCAGCAGCTTAGTGACATAATCACAAAACAGCTCTTCAAGAGCATAGATGCATCATCAACATTTGCAAAGTACTTCTGAGACCTAGGTGAAAGGCTCCTGTACACCTACAAAGAAGGAAAGAAATCTCCAGCCAAATAAAACTCTTAGAAGAACTTTGATTTCCCACTAAAAACCTTTGCTGCCATACTTCAAGGTGTCCTTTCTGTGCAATTTGAACTTTCTTCTGGAGTGTAAGAATCTTGTCAAGGGCTTGGGATCCATGACTTAGAAATTCAATTTAAGCTCCACAGGGAGGGCATTGGAAAAGCTGATTCAAATGCAGGAAAGCAGCAGTTTCTTCCTCCTTAACACAGAAAAAGCAAGCTGGAGAAGACTCCAGGTGCTGCTCTTTGCAGCTGATTGCTTGCTCTGATGTAAACAGAGGGAGGAATCCACAGGAAAATCTTAAAAGAGGGCACAAGGGCATTAGGCCTCCTCTGCATACAGAGCTGATTGTTGGAAATCAAGCACTTGGAATTTGAAAGCCACAGCTAAAGAGAAATCTTCACATCAAAAGATTTTCTTCAGGAAATTGAGAAAAAGCTTACTTAGCTTTCTTTCTCTGGAGCTCCACTACCACGCTCTTTAGTTGTTAAACTATTTTCAGAGAAGTCCGTAAATCTCAAGTGGCTTTCCTGGAGGAGAATGCATGACTCCTTCATAGAAATGGTAATTTGCAAGCTGGTCTTGGTTCACAGGTACAAAAAATAACTATGCAAATTTCTAAAACAGAAGGTCATCTCAGTGCATTGGCACAAAAATCTTCATTTCACCTTCAACTAATCAAACCAGATACATTTTATCTCATGCTGTGTAGGTAACTGGCCCTTAGTAGCCCTGCTTGAGTAGGGGGACAAGATGACATCCAGAGTTCCCTTTCAACCTAAAGCATTCTGGGATTCTACTATTTTGTACCAGCTGATATTTTAAATTCTTTGTATATTATTGCAGCTACTTTTACAGCTAAGATTTTAATGAAGCTGGTCAAGAACCCTGGAAAGTAGGGAGGAAAAAATTAAATAATCAAAACAATTACAGTAAAAGTGTACTCTGAGACTCTAACTGTGTATCATGTTTATTCTGTATTTTATAATGGGAAGATATTAAGAAAGAACACAGTTTCAGCTGGATGAGCTGCATGAACTTTTTCAAGGGCAAAGGTCCAGTCCAAAGACTACATATCACAGAGGTTCCCAATCCAGGCTTCAACTTTGACAATTTCCTAAATTGTGTTGGTTTTCTCTATATACCCTGACTTGGATTAAGACAAAACTACTGAAGCAACTCTAAGAAAAGCTGCTATCTAGACCCTAAAACTATTGTTTAGGACTCCGCTAAAATCAGTCCTGTGCCAAATACTCTCCAGCATTTTTCATTCTTCAGTTAGTCGGTTTTCCTTGAGTCTTTCAACATTGTCAAGTCTTTTGCCTCTTGTGTACAATCTGGCCACCTAATACCAGCTTGACCACAAGTAAGTTTAGGGCGTTCCTCAAGGATCTCATCTGAATAAATTTGTAATGCATCTGTTATTCCCTGGTAGCCAAGAAAAGAATGTATAACTTCTTTCCTTATCAAACCACAACAATGACTTACATTTTCTGAGGCTATTAGAGTCCCTGGACTGATTTCAAGAGAGCCAGATAGGAATAAAATGACTGTTGCCTGGAAATCTAGATATGAATCAGCACAGTCCTGTGAAATTACTTACATTGTTTTCTTGGTTCCTGTTATTCTGAAGAAGTGTGATGACACAATTGTGGATGAAGAAGGCAAGTGTTAGAACCCCTGTGAGCTGAGGGAAGAGAATTCTAAACTCTAAGGGAGGAAAAAAAAGTGTTTATAAGTTACTTCTTTGAAACAAAACAATGCCAAAATCCAGAGGACATACACAGCAGTGGAACATACTGGTAGAAACATGAACCTCCACTTTGAAATGGGACACTCCATCTTATAGCCAATGCAAATATTTAATCAAGGAAGTACAAAATGCATGAAGACAGTGGTTCTGTCTGTGGTTATGTAACACAATCTTCAGCAAGGCTTCTCCAATAGACACCAACCATCAGTGATTATTAGGTTAATCTAAGATTTACACATACATGCTTTTCTGCTTCTCAAGAGTTTAACTGGAATGGATTTTTAAGGGTGGAATTGAGCTTAGTGATGCTGTGTACCTATTGGTTCCTGAACAAGGAGACAGGGGTAAAGAATCATTTGCCCTGTGTCTTCAGTTGTTAAGAAGTCACTAAAGCTATCAGAGAAAAAATTATATCTGTTGATTTTTAAGAGATTCTGCTTATAAACCAGGGCATAAAGAAAGGCACAGCAACTTCTTGTCTTACTATGCTTCACAGCACATATGACAGTATTTTTTTTTTGGCTGTGGGAATAGCTTTACTCTAGTTCTTTCAATACTCGAAGGATCGTGTTCATGGTGATGGTGATTCTGTTCATCAGATGTGTGATTCTGGTAGTGCTGCAAATGGTCTAGGACTTCAGCAATGGGTAACATCATTGAAGCACATTAGTTGGTACTACATAAGAATATATACACTCTTCAGAGTGTTAAAAGCAATTAGAGATAGCTAAGCTTCTCCAAAGTATCCAGCAGTATAGCAAAACACCAGAGGTTTGCACACCCTTACAGATCAAACCACAGAGAGCTCCATGCAACCACATTTAAAGCAGATTTCTGTAAACTGCTATGAAGTCAGGAAGGTAAACACATCCCAGGCAACTAATGGAGGGCTCATCCAAGCTGAAAGAATATGCTTTCTCTAGGGCTGGATTCACTGTATCTTCACTACCCAACCAGCACGACACGCTACCAATAGAACTAATTGCAAGTAACTTTTGGGGTTGTTTTCCATCCACTGCTTTAATCTCAATACTAAAAAGCAAATCAACAGATTCAGAAGCTCTTTTAGCACTGCATTTCTGCATTGCTACAACAATCCACAGTAGCTGGATTTGTACGCATTAGCTTTGTTTATCTCCCAGCATTACTAGTCACATTGCCAAAATAATCAAACTACTGGGTGCTGTACTTCTCGGGAGACCTGTGGCACGTGTGTCATGCTGTAACTCATTTTACACTAGGACTGCTTAATAGATCTTGGACATGACCTTCAAGAGGCTTAAAACCTGATTTCTTTCTTAGGCTGGTTTCCGATTAACGTGGCTTTGCTAGTGAACCACAGTCTGGGCATATTTTCTCCTGCACTCTCAAGAAAAGTCCACAGATACAAGGCCATCTGAGCATTTGAAGACTGTCTGCTGGGGCAGTTCAGGTTAAAATCATGATTCCATGCTCACAGTGCAGCAAGACTGAACACTGTGGTCTATCTACTGTGCAGTACATGCTCAAGTATCATTTCCACTTACCAACAGCACTAAGAATAATGTCACACAAAACAAATCAAGTCATTAACACAGGTGCTAATCATGCAGTACTTTGAAATCCAAATTTTTACACTGGAGACAAAAGCATCTTGTTAAAAATAAATGCAGCAATGGGAGGAAGATAGATAGCATAGATAGCACTGTTTCAGAACTATGTACATCTATCTTTAAGTTTGTACTTATGCTGCAACAGTCAAGAGGATTCTCAGGTAATTATGGAGATAATCCAGTTCATCCTCAAAGCACCTGATTTGTTCTTGTACACAGTCACACTCACAAAACCTGCCTAGATTTGAAGACTCAAACAGAAAGGACAATAATTTTTTTCCCCAGTGATGTGACCAAGCTGAAGAAACTGCCTTTCACTTGTTTCTTGGCATTCAGGTCTTGAAATAGAGTTCTGAATTCCTGGCTGAGATCAAGGAATGACCTTCAACAGTTACAGAAAACTGAACAAACAGATTTGATGACTATTAGGGGTTGGGGGGCGTAAAAGTGGAACACTAATTTTTTTAAGCAGTCCTCTTTTGCCAAACATATGTGGAATACACTAATTGTTTATTCTATCTAATTTTGTGTCAGTCAATTTCAGTTTAACTAGAGAGCTGAATCAACTCAAACACAGTGGTAGGGGAAGAAAAAGAATAAGGAGCTGCAAGAACACTGCAACTGTGATCTGCAAACACTTAAATCAGTTGAATTTCATATCACTTTTAACTTCACTCAATTATCTGTAGTTCTCATGGAGTTGTCACTCTTGTTTCCACAGTGTGTTACTGTAATTCCACAAATTAGCAGAGACTCCATTAGAAATAAGGAACAACTCTGATTTTTTTTTTTTTTATTTCTATCTTGTTACAGTAACTCAAAACCCATCTGAATGTTTTAAAGTTATCCTTTTTCTCCAAGTCTACCTTACTGGACCTAGCAATAGTTTGCAACACATGTCTAAGCCTTAGTACAATGTTTATTGTGACTGTGAAACTAGGAATGCGCAACCCACAAAAGAAACCCTAAGAAGGTGTATATCTCCTCTTAAGTAAATAAGTAACTTCTAAAGAAGGACAAAATACTCTTGTTTCTAAGGACAGAAGGAGTGATAGTATTCAACAGTCCAGGACACAGCTCCCTGGAGCTAACTGATTATACAATTTTGCCTACTATAAAGAATGGGGAAAAGCCAACTAAGACCTAATCCCAGATCTCTTATTCCAGGCTTTTTAAAACAAGAAATTTATCTTTTTAGACTATCTGATCACGCAGTTCCAAATGCCACTTGTTTGTGACTGTGACATCTCACAGAGTAATTTTTAACACTAATTTGGAAAGAACAAACAGCCAACAAACAACACTCCAGAAAAACACACTGGAGAGCTAATGGGTGTTTGAAAGAGAAGAGTTAAGATTATGCCCTAAAACTTGAGATAGATTGGGAAGTACAGGAAAACTGTACTTGTGAATTATGGTGAATAAGCTATTTCATTTAAGCAAGCAACTTCTTCAGGCAGTCTGTCTAGAGTTTGTCATTTTTAATTGCTACTGAAACAGACATGATCTGAAACTGGCGCAAGATCATACAATAATAGAGGTGAAACAGGACAATAGCAAGCTCTCTGTCACACGATACATGCCGGAGATTCCTCTGACAGGCACTCCTCCTCTTCTCCACTGTTAATACTGTCTCAATTAAGGAATATCGCTCAGGAAAGGTTGCTTTATTGCAAGGCATCCTTCCTCTACATGCAACATCCGACAGCATTTCTTCAATTTATTTATGTCACAGAGGTGTTAAAAGGTGAATGAGGAAGAAAAAATCTTAAACTCATCATATATATGCTTCATTACTGCATTTTAACTATCTTACCTGGTACAAAAAATTCATTCTCTGTAAACCAGTTGAATTCTAAGTGTATTCCCGTATGAGCAGCCTTTACTGTAACCAGAAAAACTAGGTAGACAACTGAAACTGTACCTGGAAAAAAACAAGAGCCAAACAAATACCATGATGTAGTAGGAAGTATTTATGCAGGGTTTTATTTCTTTTCCATCCAACTAGTTATAAATAGCCTAAACAGTAGGGTTGGTATTCATTCTTAATGGTAGGCTAGGTCTAAATTTTTTCTTTACTTCTTCACTTCAGAGTGAAAAATTAATGCACCCAATGCAAGCTTTCAGCAAGTTGAACGTTCTCCAGGCACTGCACTAGTGACAGTGGAAGAAGTACCGTGTAATCCCTGTTGCTGGGCAGGTAGAAAAGTCTCTAGACATCAACAGATCAGTTCCTGCTTCACCTGTCAGGATTTCAATCTAACCTGAGATAACACTGGTAACAGTACTCCAGCTATTCCAATGTTTATTTAGTCACTGACTTTTTGAACCAAAAAGCCCAGTGAAATAAACACATTTACTACAATTGTGAACTTTACACTGGGAGCTAGAAGCTGATAATTTGATCACTACAAATTAAAACCTTGTCTTAATCATAACCTTGGATGACCTTGATCGCAACACTGGATTTGCATTCCAACTCATTGGTTCAGAGGCATCCAGCAGTACTCTGCACAGCTACAGGACTACAAATAAGATCACAGATGGGTATAAATGCCTTACTGTGTATACATGTGTATACATATGATCTCGGCTCAGGCAACTTAAAAGAGATAAGGTCAGAAGAGTAACCACTCAAAAATTTAAGGAAAATGAGCAACAATAATTAAGGCTACTGCAATTCACCTCCTGGCCAATAATACTTCTAGTGAACAGAGAACAGGCTATAATTACATAAAGTCAAAAAACTAGCATTTTTACACTTTAGAATACAGATTCAAAAAAATTTATCATTTCCTTCTAGCAGTATCTTCCAGATCAAAAAATAATTGAAGAAATTCTCCTCTGATTACAACTGATAGCATAGTCAAGAAATTAAGAAGATAAAAGGTTCTGCGCTTGAAGATGAGCTAAAATATTCTGTAGATTCCTAGTGAGTTAAGTTTCCATGGGTATAAAGGTAAGTGAAAGATCTCTACTAAGATTACTGTCAACATTTAAAAAACTGCCTTCTGTTTTTTCTTGTCCTATAAACGTCAAGGTTTACAAAAATTAAGGCAACTTTGAACAGCTTCTGAATTACATAATAATCTATTGAAACCATGAGTAATTAATATTCACAGGGTTTTATTCCTTATGACATACGTATCTACATAAAAACCTTCCTTTTTGCCCAGGAGCACTATCAAGTACCCAAGTTCCTGTGCAGTGTTTACACAGTGGTTCCAACAGCAGCAGATTCAAGCTCTAATAAAACGTCACAACGGAACAGAGGACAACCAAGACTTTCAAACCCCTGTCATCTACCCACTTACAATACATCTTTACCTTTTTCAACCTGTTCCCTGATCTCCATCTACTTTTCCCCTTCTCTTCACTCTGGGCTTCAATGCTACATTCTCAGACCTCTGATATTCCATAAATTGTGACCAACTCCACCCATCAATCCACGTGCTTTATCCACTTTACCACCCCACCCACCTTGGTCTTCTATGTCAAGACATGGAAGGAAAAAGTCACAATTGCTGCCCCTGTAACACAGAACAGCCCACTGGGGCACTGGGACAAAGCACAGAAGCAGGTCACACTGACTGAACGATACTATGATTAATTAATCAACTGATTGGCAGCAAATTACTTCAGATCAGAAGTAATTAATCTTTGGAAGTAACTGGCTGTTTTGAAATGTTTACCAGGTGAGGAAGGGTATGCCTGACTACAACCAAGTAGTATGTATCAAATGTTGCATAGTAGTAGGTGTATCACCATTTGGTAAAATCTGTTGTAGATGTAGTGGAACTTGTTTTACAGGATTATCAAGCAAGCAAAGGGAAGAAAATTAACTCCCTATCAACTCTAAGACTCAAGCAAAGCAGCACAGAAAGCCTATGGGATTAATAAACCAACCAACAATATCCTTTGAGGCACAACACGGGCTGCCAGCAAAATACTGAGAGCAGCTGGAAAGCTGCCCAGCAGAAAAGGACACCTGGGGGTGCTGGTCAACAGGAGTTTAACATGACTCAGCAGCATGTCCAGGTGATGGAGAGTGTTCAGGGAAAAGAAACAAGGCTGGTGAAGAGTCTGGAGCACAAGGCCTATCAGGAGTGGCTGAGGGAGCTGGGGTTGTTTAGCCAGGAGGCTCAGGAGAGACCTTACCCCTCTACAAAACTTCCTGAAAGGAGGTTGTAGCCAGGTGGGGATCTGTTTCTCTTCCCAAGAAACAAACAATAGGACAAGAGGAAATGGCCTCAAGCTGTGCCAGGGGAGTTTTAGATTGGAAAACTTTCTTCTCGGAAAGCATTGTCAAGCATTGAAACAGGCTGTCCAGGGAAGTGGTTGAACTTTAGAGGTCTTTTCTAACCTAAAAGAAACTACAGTTCTACTCAATGGAGTAGCTTTAGCTATCTTCTACACATTTTAGTTACAATGAACTAATGTTTTCATAGTATTTGTTACCTACCTAGGACATTAAACTTTGCAAAAAAGGATGGAGACTTCAGATTTAGCATGGGTAGAAGAACAGCAATCAGGTAAAATGGTACTGTTTGTGATTTGTCCCACCACTTCTCAAACAGCGTAAAACCCGTAATGTTGTCAGCAGAGAACACCACACTCCTGTTCTGTGGCAGGTGACCACTAGCAGCACTTGGACAAATGACTGGAAGAAAGGAAAATAAAAATATTCTGACATTAAAAGAGATTTACTTGCACAGAATATTCACAGCCAAGACCCGTGATTTCTGGTGTGTTTTACCTACTGAGCACTGCTCAAAAATAATGTTCAACATCTCAGTTCCTAACTCCTATTTGTTTTTTTCAATCAAGAGTTCATTGCTAAGATTCCACTGCTAGGCACCTTGCACGCTAATCTGACAGTGCTACAGTTCCTCCAGCTGAGCACAACAAAGATGATAATCTGTCTGAAGCCCAAGTTGTGGGACAGGATCAGCTTTCAAGGTCACATACCTATAACTACATGTGTTCAGTGCCTATATGCACCTGTTGGATCAAATCCTAGGAATGCACCTCTACACCTGGCTGCAAATTTAGCATCCTAATCTGTCCCTGAACACTTTAGGAAGATCATAAGAACCAGGATGCAAGTGTTTTTCTGTACAGAAGATCCTGAATTACTGCACATTGCTCTAGAAGCACACAAACTAAGGATGGCAATAAAGCAACTGTCATGTTTAAAACCCAGACACTAAACCAAAAAACTCTTGTCATCTTGGTGCCGTGCCAGGGCCAAGTACATCACTTGTACACTAAAGAAGAAATTTAAGATATGCCTCTCAATTTAATCTCAATTTAAGATAAGGCAACATCGCACTCCTGTAACATGGTGGCTGATCAATGGCAGCACCTGAACAAGTGACCGGAACAAAACCAGCCAAACAAAAAAGATCCCTTGATAAAAACATGTTCATTCAATTTATTTAACACGTGCCTGTGAAGTTATGTGTTGAAATATAAACCTGTCATATTGTTCTCACAATGTCTCATTTTAACTCTTGGCATCCCGCAGTACTCAATAGCCACTCTCCTACATTGGCTGCATTCCTGTTCTGTTAAAAAAACAAAGGTGTGAAAAGTGTTCTGACAAATTTCGTGCTTAAACAGAGGATCATTTTTCAGACCTTGAAAAGCGGTTTTTTCTTACTGGTCTCCTTGGTAGCCCTGAATGTCTTATTAAGAGCCACCTGAACATCTGGAATCCCTTCATTTTGTGAAGCAGATCCTTTAGATCTTCTATTTGGTGGAAGATAGTTTGGAATATTGTTGTCTACTCTGCCTCCAAGTTATACCCCACTGCTGCATAAGAATGGGAGAGAACAGCAGAAGCAAGAGGGAGCACAAGAGGAAGAGCACTGCAGCAGTTACTGGTGTCTTGCTGGTAAAGACTGTTGGAGAAGCAAGATTCAACACTAGTGCAAATGCAAATCAAAGGTTTTTCAGAATTATTTCTCAACCCCTTTGCCTGACACTATCATCTGCTCTACAGAAACTCAGCAGTAGCTTGTGTGACACACAGCTGCCCAGCTGGTTAGGATATGCTTCCTCATTCCCCATGAACCCAGGATGAAGAAACCTTTCTGCTTCTTAACAAAGCACTACAAATTCAGTCACTGTACACAGGCAGAAAGATCATGGGTAAACAATGCCTGCCTTGCTCCTGCCTTCATTCTACATTATTCTGCCTACTTAAGAACTCTAAACAAATTTATGTTCACACCTGACTCCAGTTTCTTCCCTTAGATGTGTGAATGTCGAACTCTACCAAAAACACAAGCAACGCCTCAAGTAGCCTGACACTTGTTTCTTTTTTGCACTCAGCATCATAAAAGCTGTTCTTACATAAATTTGTAAAAAAAGTCTTGGTGCAGAATTGGTGAGTAGCAAAGCTGCACCAGACAAGATTTTAAACAGTAAACAATTGAGGCGCCTCAACTTCAGGGTGTTAAAGTTAAAACTCCTTAATGCAATTCCTCATTGTGCAAGCACTGTTAAGAAGTCTAACATTCATGGTTTTAAGGAGCATGTATCTGGCATACACAAACTTGTCATTGGCTCTTTAATACTTATTCTCACCCTCACTTTTCTTTTTTTTTCCTCTCCAATTATTAAGCTTTATAAGTGTGTGGTTATTTGTGGAAGTACAAATGCCAGATAGAAAATTATAGCTTTTTTAAAAACACAGTTAGAACTTATGATATATACTTTAGAATTGGAATGTGGTTAGGCGTGGAAACACGATGATTTGCCCACCTCAAACCAGAAACACAATACTACTAAGTTCTTCTTACCTTTGTTACTTCCATTGGTGCCAGGAACAATATCTGTTACATTAATGTCATGAACATAGTCTGAAAAGAAGAAAACCTTGTTATCAATGTCCCAAACCAGCTATTAAGCCTTTATCTGTTGACTTGATAAAAATTAGGTAAGAAAATATTTTGGAAAATTTCATCAGAAATACAGTAGCTTGCACTCCCTCCAGCCCTAAGAGGATATTTTAAAACAGTTTCGGAAGTGTTTTAAAGTAGTCCCACACTGTACTACTTTCTTCTCAGCAGCCCTATCCATTTTTAAAGTTCCCAAGATTCCATGCTCCCAGCTGATGATTCCTGTTCCACTAGCACACCTCCACTTGTCCCAGCTCCTCAGTCTGCAGCCTCTTTTGGGACAGAAAAAAAAGGCATAAACATTCCCTTAGTCCATAGAGTATTACACAGAAGAAGCATCCCCTACTCTTTTTTTTTTCCTTTTTTTCTTTTTTTTTCCCTTTTTTTTTTTTTTTTTTCTCAGAAAGGTCTCTGTGGGATGCTTTTTCTATGTTGTATTTTAAGGATGGGAAACTCTGGAAGAAGGTTTAAGTCTTACTTTCTACAGGTACCTCTAGTAGTATTTTATTTGCTGTACACTTCTGTGATACTTTTCTGCTCTACCATACCACACCAGTTGTTTCTAAGTTTCTGCAGCTTCACCTGTATGAGAGTACTGGATATCAATTCCGTTCTATTTATTTACACATACAGACAGAAAATACTCCATCATCTTGGAAACTGAATTTGTGTGCCACTGGTTAAATTCTGCTTCTGCTGCATGTGGGCGTATTACACACACAGAAGATCAGCAAGGCCAGTTGGCCTCACATTTTTTAAACACAATTTACAGCAGCTTGTTTTTCATAATGAAACCAAAAAGTCTTATGGGAAGAAAACTGGTTTTTCTTTCTTCATATTGATTTATGACACCATGAATCACAAACATACTTACTTCTTTCAGTTCAGTGTACACAACAATCAGAAGATTTAACTAAAATCACTGATAACCTACTCACTTCACCACTGTTTTGTGGTTCTAGCTAAAAAAGAAGTATCTAGTGTGAACCCATCAAAAGAATTAATAGCTCTTACAGAACTAAAGCACTTTAAGTTTAGTTGTAGATCTATATTTAAAAAGTGGTTTAGGACTAGCAATTGCATTTGTGGATTAATTTTTGTTTCATAAAACAGAAAGAGAACAAAAGCATGGGACACCATGTTAAAAAAAATAAAGGCATGATATTACATCAGCTCACAATTATTGCATTCTTTGTGTACTACTGACTTCTAGACCATCCTTCCACATAAAATCAGTTTGTCCCCACCTAAAGTGTATGTGCAAATTTTTATAAAAGTCATCTGAAAGTATGAGAATTAAATATAGTAGCCTGCTTAGAATACTTAGAAATACCTGGCTGGAGGTGCCATTATGTCAAGCCTACATCCTATTACCCATTTTATAACCTAGTAATTAACAATGAAAGTTAGGACAAGAATCCAATGATACTTATCTCAGAGCAAACAACTTAAGTAAGAACTCTGAACAAATATAGATAAGTGATAAAATAACATGCCAGCCCCACGGAAAAACAGGACTTCTTCCCTTAAAAAAAGAAGTGTTTCAAACATTTTGAATTGTGCTTATTAGAATTGGAGTTATCTGGTTCAGAATAATTTAGGATTCAAGAATTAAGCTTAAATATAACCCCAAGTGCAAAATTAAATGGCCATAACAACATATAAATTAGGTCAGCTGTAAAATACATCCGTCATTAACCAATAAAGTATGTCCTTCAAGGATGGTGGGAATTCTAATTAAACATTGATTAAGAGATCTAAGTGTCTGTGCTGTTGTTTGCCTCAGAGATTTGCTAACTCCTTCAAAACAGAAAATCTTAAATCTTAGTTGAGCTATTCAACGGTATGAGTCAGATTGTCAAAGCTCTCAAATCCATCATCCATTCCCACAACTCTAGATACCTAATTGTTTGTACCCACAAATGCTTCTGTGTCTATGCACATATAAGGGTGTAAGTAATCAACGTTTTGTTTTGTAGTAATACCATACTACCCATTGTTCTTTCCCTGTGCTACAGTTCATTGCTTTTTCATGGACACTTGCAAAAACTTTTTATATAGCAATATATAAATGTGTTTGTTGAAATCTAGAATGAAACTAGATTTTTTCATTTCATTAACCTGGATCATTTCAACAGTCTAGCCTGTTATATGGCTGTTCAAATAGTTACACCCATGCAAACAAAGGGGGAGTGAAAAGACAAAGTGAAAACAAGAAACCAGGTTTAGGTTGTTTAAATGACACCAAGAGGCCTCATTACTGACATGTAAATGAGATGAATGGTACTTTGTCTTTCATTAAAACCACACTTGGAGACAGAGACTGAGAAAGTGGCTTTGAAAACATACATGACTGTGCCCACAACACCACATGTAGACTTGATTTTACATGCAAAGTAGCAGGAAAATCATGATTACATAAAACAGACTTTTTCAGTGTAAAGCAAAGTCTTGATCTTTCCACAAGATTGCTGTAGAAGTTAAGAAAAAATGAATACTTACTGTATATAAATTTCCCTGTGTTGAACAGAAAGTTGGACATAAGCACCCAATAAACAACCATGGCTCCAACAAGTGATATCATAGAAAACAAGAGACTTGACCACTGACCAAAGGATCCAAAGTAATACTTGCAAACATCTGGGAATTCCCAGTTTGAGGTATCTATTAAAGCTGAAAAAGATACAAAAACCAGAAACATATCTTAACAAAATCTTTGAGTCAGTAGAACTATTAATGAAAGATTGTATTCTTTGTTTTAGCATACTCTGACGTGGTCACAGTGCTTTAAAGACTAAGAAGACTGCTGGTAACTTTGAAATATAATATGCTTTAAGTGTTTGACCAAAGAAGCCTGAAATAGAGACTGTTCTTGTGGCTATCCATCCTACTTTGAGTACTTTCAGAAGCACTAGAATAAGACATGGTGGCAGAAATGCAGCCATGCATTTGCAGCTAAAGCCTTTTGAAGGAGTTATGGTAAAGTAGGCCAGACCGAGAACTGTTCCTCAACAATGCCCTGAAATGCATTACCACAAACTGCAGGTCTTAATGGCCTTTGAGCAAGTGAGAGGTTTATACATGAAAGCACCAACTACAAGAGCTGCAAGACGTTTGGAACAACAAAAGTACATTCTAATTAGAGCAGCTGTCAGTTGAGTGACTGTCCATAAATTGCTTTCAACACAGAATACACACAAATATTAGGGTAATACAGGTATACAGAACAAGGGGATGCAGCTACAGCCCATGCTGTTCTACTGTGCAACTTCCTAAGTCCAAACACTTAGTAAATCAACATGGGAAATCATGCTTTCTAAGAATTTGGGTTATGCTAGGGGATGCAGCTACAGCCCATGCTGTTCTACTGTGCAACTTCCTAAGTCCAAACACTTAGTAAATCAACATGGGAAATCATGCTTTCTAAGAATTTGGGCTATGCTACTTAGGTTCCAAGCAACTGAAGGATCATCTAATAACGGAAGACGATCATTTAGCTTACAGAGCTTAGATCCACACTACAAAAAGAGAGAGCCATTGAAAGGCACAGCTTTTATTTGCAGGTTGAGTCTAACATATAGTAAAGATGCAGATAAACTGAGAATCTACTATATATCTGTATTTCACACTTAACGGAAATATTTGCATTATAAAGCTTTGGATTTCTTACGTATCATTTGCCGTGATTTCACAACTCTGTAGCAGCAATAAAGAGTCAAAATGCCCATGAGTAAAATGAGAATAATTCCAGAAGTGAAGCCTGCCTGTTAAGAGCGAGAAATACAGCTTATTTATCAATATACTACAGGAAAATGAAGAGCAAGCCATGTTACCAAAAACATTTTCATACACATACATTTTTCATAGTTTACCTGTTTTATTCCCCATGGGATACTTAATATGGATGTACCCATCATTGTATTCCATATCATAAATCTAGGAAGAAAAGGAAAAACTCAGTGAATAGTTTAAGAATCCCTCTTACTTCATATTGCCCTCTTAGTTACAACAGTTATGCGTGCAATATAGAACATTCAATAATAATACATTTTCTGGCTAATATATGGCAAGGTGCTCAACATACATTGTCACTAGACTGGAGTTTTTACCATAGCCATCTGTGCAAGTGTCAACTTTAAAAGCAGTTCCTAATGGACTGTACACGTAGATTTCATCAGGAGCTGGGAGTACATGATCAGGAGCAATCTAACAAATGGACATAAAACAAGACATATTAGTAACACCACAGTAACTACTGTACCAAATACAGCAAGTCAACTATTGTAAATCACAAAATATTTCCAGGACACTACATTATTAAACCAAACCAAACCAAACCAAACCAAACAAACAAAAACCAACAAAAAAGCACCAAACCCAAACAAGCAAAAAACCCAAAACCCAAACCCAAACCAAGCCAAAACAAACAAACAAAAGGATAAAATGTTATACTATGTTTATTTTCTCTCCAGGGGAAAAAAACCAACATTTGATAGGATTTTTAGCTAGACAGTAGAAATATGCATTTTTCTTCTGCAAAATGTCTGTAAAGACATTATGCACAGATCTTCATGCTAATTCAATAGTTCAGTCACTGCAACTGACCACTGCTTAAATCTTATAGATGGGAGAAATGAGGTCAAACATCTGGGCAGCCTGGATCACTCTTACAAAATTCAAGTTGTTTGTATGTTTTCTTTTAATGGTGAAGGCATTGCGCAAGAAGTAAATCACAGCTTGTGATAAAACAAAACCTATTTAAGGCATTCAGCTATTAGTTGTTTAGTTCCAAGCAAGCTACAGAGTGGTTCTCCCCCAACCTTTATTTCTGCTGCTGATACAAATCTAGGGTGTGGAAGACCCAACATACCAGAGACCACCCAGTTCATGTGGCCCTGCCTTACCAGTGCCCTGTCTGCAGGGGAGGTGAGCCTGCTATAGTAATGAATCCGCTTATTCATTGCTGAAGCTTCGTCAGTAACTCTTTGCATGTCATCGTTCACGCTGACTATGTTTGTAGGCTCCACATGAAATGGTCTAAAGGAGGGGAAAAAAGGAAAAAAAAAAAAGAAATCCCTTAAAACTCTAGAATACAAGAGCTAACATACAACTCAGAGAATAGCTCATCAACACTCAGAATGATTCTGTCATTCACTGACACAAAGCAAAGGCAGAAAAACATCAGTGCCATGAGGGAAGCTGCCATCCATGAAAGAACCATGAGTTTATATCATCCATATTAAAATGGCCTCCTGCCCAGATTCTGCAGGGCAGTGTAACATCAAAATTCAGACCTAATATCCACTGTGTTAGTTCTCAACAATGAATCACACCAGAAATACATGCTAATAAGCTTGGGCAAGCTTATTAGAGCTTATAAATAATGTTCCCAGATGTAGTGATGAGGAACAGAAAGCATGAGAATGCAGAATTAGAAAGCAAACAAAGAGAGGAACAAGCAGTGGTAATAAAGAACCACCTATAAAAAAGGTTAGGAACTACTAAATCAGCCAAAAATCACTGTATGGAATTGTGTTTAATGGGGAAAGAACCAAGCCCAAATAAGTCCATGTGCCCATACTATTTTTAAGTAACACCACAGAGAAAGGAATTTGTCTCCCTTCCTCTTCCCCACCTGAGTTAGACTGCAGGCACGGTCACAGACACCGAAGGAGAAAGCAGGTACATCACACGCCCCTTTTTTTCTCTCTCTTTTTCTCTACTCACAGAGGTAGAACAAGCAAAGTGAAAGCTGCTCCTCAAGTTACAATACAACATAAATTCAGCTTCATGCAAGGAGCACTACCAGATAAATGTGATCAAATCAAGATACTGCAGCGATTTTTTTTAAATCAAGTATAATTTACTTCCACATATGTATACGACACTCTTGCATACATTCACTTCTAGCACTGACAGGCTAATTTCTCAAAGAAAAGAGAGGACACTGGTGGCCTTTAAGTCCTGGTATACTGGGCTTTTTTTCCTTTTACCAGTCTTTTTAATTTTTAAACCTATCTCAAGAGCTTTCTGATCTTCTTCCAGGTTGATGTTTATATCACGTAGAACCAAGAGCCACTCCAAAAACAGGACCCACAAGTTTCCGACTACCAAGGATGGAAATTAGGTCAGAAATAAATCAAGGCCATTTCTCCTGTAATATGAGCAAAATCTATTTGAATTGACTGATTTTCAATACTCATTTCTGTTCCAGACTACAAGGAACTTGCTCAACCCTCCTGCCCCAGCTCTCAACACCAATAACAAACATCACTCTTTTCTAGTCAATCATTAAGCATTTGTACCATGATACCACCTTTCATTTGGAAGGAAGACAAGGAATACAGTTTTGGTCTATCTCTGAAAGAGATAAAGGGAGGTTCCTATTCCTGTGTACTTGAGGGGACACAGTAGGTAGGATTATTTATGAGACTAAGAAAACCTGACTCACGAAAGAGGAAAATAGAGAATATAAACTTCCCTCTCCACAAATTCATTCTTTTCTTCACCTTAATTAATTCTTACATCTTGCTTCATCAAGAAAAAAATTTATGAGTCTGATCTAATCATTGGACAGAGCTAAAAATATTTCATTAGAAGACCTGCAAAATAAAGACTGTAGCTATGAGAACAGGAAAAGTAACATGCTTAAATGCAACCCCAACCCCAGTGAGCTCTCTGCTGCTTTTTTTTTGGATCACTGACACACACTATACTTAGGACACTTAAAGGTATGTGTTTTGCTAATTTTACAGGAGCTGCATAGTGTGAAGACCTTCATGAAGATTTCCTTGAAAATGGTGTTCAACAGCTGCTGACATGGACGTCAAAAAAAAAAATTCTTCCAGAGTGGAAGACAGCAGGAGATTATTTTTAAGATTATTTTTAAAGTAATTTAAATAAAAGTGATTAATGGTTTTAAAACTGAAATAATAGAAAACATGAATACAGCATCCTATTTTATGGGGAAAGCAAGTGTTGTTAGTCAACAACCAAATATCAAGAAAAAAATCAAATGCAGCAAAAAACTATCTGTAGGTAAGAAATTCTTTAAAGAAAGACATTTCATTTTCTTCAGTATTATGAACAGAGTCTGGATTAAACAAGTATTTTTGGTATAGAACAAAACAGAAGGGTATGATCCAGACTCTAATCTATGGGTAAGGAAAATAAAATAGAATTTAAAATGCTATATATCCCTTACTTCTGCTTCCTGACTGAAGGAGTGCACACGTTTATTGCTGCCAATACTTGAGCTAATTCCCCTCCTGATCCCTTCTACTGCACATCTGTTGAGAATGAAAATTATGTTAAGCAGAAGTTAATTTTGTTTCTTCCAGGGTACCACTGCACTAGGCCTACTTAGCAAGTGACTGCTAAAATATACTGGCCAGACTGACCACCCATCAGCTTTGTGTTTCTTGCAGATCTCTTTGAAAACATCAGTCTGACTTGGATGCTGTCAGTCTGACTCTGCCTCCCAGGAGGGAGGTTGAGAGGCAATCCTTCTCTCTGGTCACCACTAGAAAAGGGTAAGCACTGGGTCTAGGATCAAGGTCATTTCCCTGCTCCCAGCAACACCCAGATCAAAGACTGGTTGTAGGGAACACGCAGACAGGAGTCTGACTCTCAAAGACTCAAAGAAATTCTCAGAGACTGAGATCTTCAAAGCCCAAAGCAGGTAGGACATAATCTTGGATATATTTTGAAAAACTCTGTTTAGGGACCATATATCTAGTGGGCAAGCACTCCTGCACAGGTAAGCATTAGCAGCTGCAACAGATTTCTGTTAAAAACTCCTGATTTATAAAGGCAATTACATTATATCTCTCACATGGCAAAATTATTATGAAAGAGATGGTGGATAATGTGATCTGGGGGAAGGGGAGAGGTTACATGACTGGAGGGTGTGACTATGAATCTGAAACAGTACAGACAACTTCCATGCACTGAGATAAACTATAGTGTCCATTAAACTTTATCCATACTAAAAAAATACAGTTACAGTTAATATTTCATTAATTAGCCTGAAAAACAATGCTCTTTTACCAGGGCAAATTCATCAGTAAAACAAAGCTGTTTTCCACAGCACCACGAATATGGACAACTGCAGGATCTCACGCAGGAGGTCCACACCTTCCATACACTACACTCCACACTGGTACTTCAGAAATCATTCTCAGAAAACCTGCGGCTAAACTCAGCTTTTCTCACTCACACAAAGGGACAGATGATAAGAACTCTCTAGATTTGACCCAGGAAAAGAGAGAAGAGGGCTTCTGTCCAAACTTCTTCATATTTTGAATTTCAGTAGCAGTATTTGCAAGCAAAGAAAATGAAGAGATGCTCTCAATGAAGGTTGTTTCCAAATATTGTGGTAGGCAAAGTTCAAGTGTTGGATTAGAGTGTTAGAGGGAAAAAGCATAATAGGAACATTGGCAAACTACATACAATTTTGCAACTGCATAAGGGTGCTACATCTTTCTTCTGGATATTTTCAGCAATATGCTACAACTTGCAGAGCAATGAAGGAGTAGGACTAACACCTATCTCAAGAAGTTTTAAACTCAACAATACTGTTTTTCAAGTACTTCTGCTGAAGTATTTTTAAACATCAAACAACTGATTCTGGAGATCTGATCAAAAATGTGCTAAGTATTGAGCTGTTACAGTGGAATAGAATTTTTTGTGCCACTGTGTCTTTTGGCTCTACATGACAGTATTAAAATGGCCAGTCTTCGCGAACGAAGAACCGAGCAAGGTCTTTACACCTTCCAGCCTGCGCATTGGATTTTTTAGGTGAGACACAGTGTGCGCGGAACTGAGCCCACCCTTTAATCCTGAGGTTCATCTGCCGGGGCCAAGCACGCTTGGACGGTGGCAGCGAGGTCCTCAGGACGTAGATGGATTGCCTTACAGGGCTAGCGAGCTCCATCTGCCCGGGGAGTGTCCTAACTGGGAATCGAACCCGGATCTCAGCGTTGACAACGCTGTGGTTTAGCCACTGCACCACCAGGGGCACTCATGACAGTATTAATTTAAATTAAATTAAACTTTTAATTAAATTAAAAGTTTGTGTTACATGAAATCATGACAGTATTAATGATTTCATGTAACACAAACTTTTAATTTTTAAACAAATACGAAAAAGTTCTTTACAGTTGCTTTACAATTCTTTCCTCTCCTCCAAAAAGATCATCTCTGACACCCCACATCACTAATTTACTTTTCAGGAATATAATAGGATTGTTACACAGAAATAAAGTCAGTAAATTCCTATAGCTTTATTGTTATACTGAGTTAACAAATTATTACAGGAATGCTCTATATGGTACAGGAGAAACTGAGGAGTAAAACTGATTCATTATACTGGACACTAAAGTAAGGAAAAGAAGTCATAATAAGACCATACTCATAAGATGCTATTTCATAATTGGGAACTGCCTATCTGGATACCAGGAACACCAGCCACTGGAACAGACTCCCCAGGGAAGTGGTCAGGGCACTAAGCCTGAGAGAGTTCAAGAAGCCTTTGGACAACACTCTCAGGCATATTGCGTGATTTTTGTGGTTGTCCTGTGCAGGGCCAGGAGCTGGATTTGAGAATCCTTGTGGATCCCTTCCAACTCAGGATCTTCTATGATTACAGATGTCAGTGTGCTTCTCTTAAGGAAACCTGTGCCAAAGAATTCCATGACTGACTTTCTAAGGTATCTAAATTTACCAAAGCATTGCAAACACTGTGCTTACAGTAATCCTGTAAGATCTTCATTCTCTTGGCAATATATTTTACTTAAAATTTTTCTGCATTCATATCATCATTATAGTGATTACAGCATGAGCACACAAGTATCTTAAAATGCTGGATGCAGAACTAAAATAACCTTTCAAAGCGTAACATTTTAACAAGTATCATAAGCTTTACTTCATTTCAGTCACTGTTCACTCTTGTGTGTCAAAGGCAAAAGTATTGTACTCTTTGCTTACAAAGAACTATGAAGGTTCTTAATTAAGGAGCTCCAATTCTTTCCAGCTAAAAAGAATAATATTAGGAATTTGTAAATATATTAGCAACAGAGAAAAATGGAAAACATGCAATTGAGTAAAATAACCACATGAGTGTGGAGCGGTAAAGGCATAATGGATGCAAAAAGGATTGGTTGCAACCACCTTCTGTCTTTTTCTAAATTAAAAGAACTTCGAAAATAAAGGGAATCAACCTCTTTTACATGTAAAAGGCTTCTCTGACTGCCATCTACAGACACTGTTTAATTTATAACTTTAATTTCACCTGCTGATGTCTCCTGCATTGTGAGAAAGCTGTGGGACTTCAAAAAGAACAGAAAAAAGCTAAAGGCTTGATCTCCCTTTAGCAGGAGGCATTGTCAAGCTTTTTCATATGCAAAATAAAGAACACGAAACATCAATTGCTTCTTTGAAGGTTCGAGTATTCCTGAAGACAACTGCAGTATCTGTTGACAACAAACAGATTTAAAGACTAGTCAAAAGAAAACAGGAAACTCCCTCTCTTGCATACAATAATCATCAAGAAGCCAGTACAGCAATGACATTCTAGTTTTTAAAGGGACCTTCAAAATGGGCAAAGCACATTAAATACGTATGAGTAATTCGGGTCATTGCGAAGAACAATAACATCCTCTTAAAACAGATTACACGTGGTTTTATATTTCCCCCAAATTAGCAAAACAATACTGAACAAAGTAATTTACAGCTCTAACAAACAATTAGCTTATTGTTTGTATGTAAACACTGAAAAGCATGCCTTTCAAAAATCCCAAATCCTCCAAGCTGTTAAGAAAACCAAATGACTATGCAAATGACATCAAATCTCAAACATCTCAAACAAAAGAACAGAACAGCACTAAGACAGACAAACAGTAATTACAAGCAAATCAAACAAAGCTCTTGAAGAGCTATCTCAACCAAAGGAAAACGACCAACCACCAGTGCTGGGTCAGGTTTCTGAATAGCGAGTCATAAAAAGGAACAAAGTAAGTAGAGCATACTTTGCACTGTACTTCCGCATTTGCACTGTTTGATACTTTTATGCATAAAAAACCTCCTTCCCGTGAGCTGCTATAACCTAAAGGTCTAATGAAGAAGCCCTTCATACTGCCCACTGCTCTGACCACATCTGACACAGATCCTGATGGCCTGTTCTTCCTCGTATCTTTTTAAGTCTGCAGCTGCCTCTTCTAATACAGAGATGAAGTTCAGACTTGTTCAGCCCCACTATGATTTCCAGGCCCCTCTGATATCCCAGGGCTCGTGCCCTTCATCTTTGCCCCTCTGTATGCTTAGAAGGCAAATAACTAGACTGTAGAAAATGGGAGAATGAACTCAAGAGAGGAGCATTATGGACAAAGTAAACAGATCTGCACCGTTGGAAACTGTGGAGGTGGGAACACAATCCAGGTGCACCTGCTTTCAGGGAGGGAACTACATGCCAGGGCAAATGCCTTTTTCGAAGCTGAGTCTCCAAACTTGAGAAATAACAAGGAAAAAAACCAAAAACACAATAAGAAAACAAAAACAAACTTTAAAAAGTGAGTCTTGGCACTTTGATACATCAAAAAGATGTAAACTTCTCACATTGCTGCTGTATCACCACGCCACCTGAAACCCACTGCTCCTTTTTAAACAGAACACATATTTCCTTCAAAACAAGGGGCTCCCAAAACCCATATAAACTAGCAGTCTTCTTATGCCAGAAGGACCATGAGGGGCTCTGATACTCTCCAAAAAGAAGTTAGAACAAGATTTCATTTAGCACAATTGCCTTTTCCCACATGAAAGTACTCTAGCGTTTCCTAATCTTTATATACAGAATTCCATATGCTCCTGCACCTGTGCTCCATTTGTTCCCCTGGGCTCACTCAGACCTTTATCATCCTTCCTTTGCTGGCAGAGAAAAGAGAGATTGTTTAGCCCCTGGCTCACATATAAGTAGGCTTTCTAAAGTGGCAGGCTGAGACAGCAGAAAAGTACTATCATCAAAAACTTTTTTTGGTCGAAGTGAACCCCAACAACAATACTTTGCATACAACAGTGCCATCTTCAGTTTCTTCAGGAAAACTGCATTACTGACATATGATGTTAGATGGAGAGAGAAAAAAAACATAAACAGGGTCCAAGAGGTGGTACAGGGCTATTTCTTCATATAAAATTGAAGTGCTGGTGCCTTCAGCTAGTATCAGAAAGGCAATTCCCACTCCGATCTCAGTTTTGGTTCCAGGACCAGCCCACAGAAATTTTAACTGCAGCAGAGGAGGTCTCCCACTCCAACCACCTTTGGGAAACAAAACTGTTAAACCCTTAAGAAAAACGCAAAATAATCAGTTAGCTAGATAGGTATTATTTTTGAAGGCGCAGTAGTAAGGCTGCACTGCTGAACTTTTCATATTTGTTTAGTCTCAAAAAGCACTACATATATATTTTTTCCTTGAAAGGCAGTAAAGGTCACTCAGTTCCCTTACAACTAGCAAATAATGTATTTTTCCAGCATCACCTGCAGAATGTACACAGCATCATCTACACATAGTGACAGCCATTTATCTATGTCATCTGGCAAGCTTTCTTGCATGATCTCTACATTTCAGTTGGTTGTGCTAAAAAAAAAATCACACACCAGTATACACACGATATTCCATGTTTGAAGAGCACTTTAAAGCCACATGTCAAGTTCTTATTGCAGAACATTCTGAAGTGGCGGCAATAGGAAAGTCTTACCCTTACAAACAAAGCATAGTAATACCACTTGTTCACCCAGTGCCTGGAAACAGAATAGTATAATATATAAGGTAGGAACTGTTTGTATTCAGATCCTGGTTTCCAAATGTTAGTCTTCTGTCTTTGTAGGATTCTGTTGTTAAAAGTAAAGATTAAACTACTCCTTGCTATATAATAATTCTGTAGGTTCAGCCTTCCTCATACCTTTTGCACTTATAGTCTTCTGGATTAAACTGTATATTCATGATTCCATAATTGCTTTCATCGCCTCCCACAGGAACCAAGATAGGTTTGGTATCCTCTTCCATATTTGGTGAATGTGTCTCCTTCTTTTAGATTCTGTCAGTTATTCAAGCCTAAAAAAAATGAGACAACTGAAGTTAAGCAAAACTGTGTCCCTGCTACGAATTCAACACTGGCAGAGTCCCACAGCTTCTGAAGCTCCAGGGGGTGCAAAGCACCTTCAACTTGCCACTTGAGAATTCTCATTCCATAATGCAAACATCACAAGGCAGGTATGGTGGGAAAGGTATTTTTTAAAAACACACTATGTATTTAACTGGTCAATGTACAATTGTGCTCTAAATCTCTTTTAGCGCCGCAAAAGGCAAAATGAATTAAACTTAAATCTCTAAAGGAGCTGTATTTCTAATGTGTAACAGTACAGCTGAGAACAATTTATCAGTTATTAGAGACTACTGTTTCACTAAAGTACTTCAAACTTTGCAGCAGACACATACATATGCAGTTTATTCCAGTTTCACAAAAAGGATCAGATTATTGCAGTCTACCGTGCCCGAGCTCTTTGAATTAAAGGCAATAAATGGTTTAATAATGCATTAATAACAACTATTACACGCATTCAGACCACACTGAGTCAAACAGTGGGGAGCAGACCTCTTTCAAGCTAATGGATTTCTATCTAGATTGAATTACAGTCCTCATGGGGGACCTTCTGTGGGCTTATGCAGCTGAACAAATGTAAGGGCTTTAACAGCTCTCATCCCTGCTACCTCCTGAAGAATTCCTCAGCCAGGACTCCTTCAAACAAAAACAGTAGAAGCCAGGATGCCTCCAGACAAAAATGGTAGAAGCATCTGCTCTTTCATAATGTCTCAGAATGCTTTAGAATGTTAGACAGGCTGATGGAAAGACAGATGACAACCAGAGCTGACACAAGACAAGGAAGAACAGCACTGGATGTTTGAAACCTGGGGTAGTGATGGAAGAAGATAGAAAGAATAAGGTGTGTATCATCATTCTGCATCCTCATGGAAGTACACTGTATAGGTCCAATCCCAGAAATCACACCAACCCAAGCTAAGGAGTGACACAGTTCTACCCCTTCTTAGCTGCATATTGTCAAACCTCTTCCATTAGCTTATCCTGTTAATACCTCTGGAAAAAAAACCCAAAGAACCTGAAGGAGCCAATGAAAAATGAAAGAAAGTTCCACTCTTTGGGATTGAAGAAATTGCTAAAGGAGGCATAGGAAAACACGGAAGGAGCATATGGCAGAAGCACTAAGACTGGCTCAACCTGCTAAGGAAGTGCTCTGTAGAAAACAGACACAGGCAACGGCTCTCTGATCAGAAGGGGAGGAAATCACTGGAGGGCCCAGTTCATGGAAACAGCACTGAAAGAACTAGCCCTGCCTTTGACAGCTCAATGGCTATTAGCAGACATAATAAGCAATCAGTGGTAATAACAGAGGCAATCTTAAGAGCCTTATTTGCCCTTCCTGATGGCATTTCTTTGTCTTGAACTTCATTTTTGCTGTTACTCTCTAAAGCTTTTTCCTGTAAACTTTACAGAGCCTTTCCAAGACAGGAATTCTCTTACCCACCCTAACTTACTGCTTCCTCACTTTCGTCACTCTAGGCCTTCTATAAATCATCAGTTTTGATACTTTACCCTGAAGTCCTTTTCTTCGACAACATTGCTGCTTGTTCTTTGGCCTCAACTGAATGTCTTACTTTCTCTCATCCTTCTCAGCTCCTCTGGTGATGCTTTAGCAAGCGGATTCCTGCTCCTCCTTTCCTATTTTCTGTGTCTCCTACACACTGTCAAAATTGCTTTCCCAAACTGCCTTTACTTAACACTGCCTATAAAGAGATATCTTAGTTCACACCATAATTTTTATTTCATATGACACTGTTCCGTTCCAAACTCCCTTTTTGTTCACCTCTGTTGGTTCCCCTTATTGCTCTACAGCAACTACATTACCTCCTTTCTCCTTACTGATACTCTGCACTCTTACAGTTAAAATTCACCCCAGTTCACATCAGCTTTCTGCAGCAGCTAAACACTTCTGAAACAAAAACACAGGCCCCAGAGATTTCACACACTGCTACAAATATCCACTTACGCCTCTGCCATTCCCATTAAAATATGAGATTATCTTCTTCTGTTCTATTTTCTTTCTTAACTGAACATCTGTCATGATTTTATGAACAGATACACCTAGGTCTCAAACACAGATCCCTCACTTTTTCTGCATTTTGCATCTCTCTTAAGAGTTTAAGTAACACTTCAGGTCCAGTCATAAAAATGCAGATGAAAATTTAAAGTCCAAATGCCTGAATTGAAAACTGAAATAAATTCAAATCCCAAATACTTGGAAGTGGGTTTAGACAGAATTTCCCCAAGACTGCAGTACTGAGATCCATTCCTTCCACAGGCCATGGTTTATGACACAGATTAAGCAGATATCAAATGCACATCCCGTCCTTAAAATGAATAATTTATTCGTGCTTTACAAATCAATCTAATGCTGACAACATTGATCACCAGTTTGATTTTCTCTGCACTGTGGCTATAAATTAAGAACCCAGAAGATTTTATAGTATTCCATGAAGAAAAATAATCCTTCCAAAACATAACACATCGTAAGTTTGGCTTGCCAGCATGATTTGGAGCTCTTGTTTATTGACTCCTTAAGGTCACTTAAAAGCTGGATCTGTGAAGACAGTTTATTTTTTAAGTTCTTATTGTTGATAACAATGAAGCTTATGATCATCAGTATTCAGCTGCTCTACAAACGGAGGCAGCTATCACGCATGTAAAGGTTGCAGCTGGAGCCAGGACAGTTAAAGGACCATTTTAAGCAGAAGAGCAAAATGAAGAACAATGAACCTGATTAGCCTCTCTTTTATCTACAATTTATGCTTTTTGACTGGACTGCACTCTCAACAAACACTTTTAATACATGGAGTGGAGCCAGTTTTGCTCTCTCAACTTACTGATAGTTTCCATTACAACAACCCCTTCCCAACTGTAATTTTCCTAATGCTGTAGTTATCTAAAGATTTTTCTTCTATGAGCTATCTGATCTATGTTCACGTCATTCAGGAGGTTTCTTTTAAAAATGTGTGATGGGACACAGAATACTCTCTGTATGATCTATAAAGACTGTAAAAAGGACTGGGATGCCAAACACAAAGAATTCACGTCAAAAATAAAAGCTGCTTGACAAATCTCATTCTGTTTGTATATTTTATAATACACCACGGTAACAGCTTCCATGAGGCCACTCTTGAATGCAGACTATTACTATGGATCTCTGGGAATTAAGGTATGGCTGTTTAGAAACAGAGAAGGATGTTGTAAGGATACTTGACTCATTTGTTGTCAAACTGGATTTTCCTTCAAGTGGAAAAGAGGTTTCTGTTAGCTGTATTGGAGACATAAATTCATGGTACTTTGTCTTCAGCAGTGCTATGAGTTAAAAGCAGTGCTGTTCCCTGCTGTTCATTCTGTCTTTCCTCCCCCAGTCTGTGGTGGCACAGCCATTTGTCTTTCTTTCTGTCTTGGTGGAATAAGTAGGACTGTGGAATAGATCTCTCTAAAAAAATAAATCCAAAGTGGGATACAATTGTTTTGGTGCTGGCTTGTGGTTGTCTAGTTTGTAGTTTCATAGAACCAGCAGTTTCACTGTCCAGTTGAAAAGACAGGAGTATGATCTGCAGAAGCCAACACTAATAGAAGTGTAATTAAAGCCACAGCCTGGGGGATCACCCATCTTTTATATTATGTTACCCTTTTTCTTCCCCTGCTGCTTAGAGCCTGCTTCATGTAACACTGGATAACAAAGAAGTGTATGTGTCATGCACCACTGAATGATGTTAAATATAAATATATTTAAATATATTATGTATTTTTATATATATAAAATATGTATTTAAATATATATGTTTGTGTATTTATATATGTTAAATATAAATATAAACCAAGTTGCTCTCAAACTGAGCTTTCAAAATCTGTGGATTTTTCCTGTGTTTTAATACCTATCCTTAGAACAAGGATAATGCCAGTACTTCCTGAAGCTCATGGGCATGCTGAAAAATTAACTTGTATGCAAAACTTAGTGATACACAGTAAACACTGCAAATATCATCCAAGAACAATTATGATTTGTTGAGTAGCAAGTAAGGCAGATCAGTCTCATACTGAAGTGAAGATCAGAGTGAGTGCTAAGTACCTTCTACTAATTAACTGCAACTATAATCTTATTCATAAGACAGGAACAAAGGAAGAAATTTTATGTTCTTCCCTGTAGCACTGCTGTTGCTGCAGAGGAAAAAAAAGGTTTTAAGAATATTTTCTCTGCATCCATATTTCTTTTCCTTTCCAATCCAGCTTTGACAAGGAAAGTGTTTGATTTTGCTCCTGAAAATCCTATAATATAACTTAGTTCTCCAAACATTTGACTCCAGGAGGAAATACTCTGGCTTTGCTACACCCATGAAAGTCAATGTTAAGTGCTGTTGAAACACCTCCCTAAGCTGTACTTAGGACAGTTATTAAGACAAAAAGGTAGCTCTTCCACAGCAGCTATTAAAAAGGAAATACATCTTTGACAAACCTTCATAGTATCAAACCCCTCACAAATGTGGAGCAACATTGACACTAGCATCTTTTAAGAACTGCTGTACTCTGCCTTAAAGCGTGCTCAGCTGTCCTTCTTCCACTTATGGCTACATCTAGAAGGAAAATTTCAAATACTTTTCCAGATATTAAAAAACGCGTCCAAACTGCATATCACAAAATGTTTGGGATCCTCTTGTGTGTAAGGGCTTACAACAGCAATCACTTTTTGCAATCATATGCTATCAACACAGTCCTCACCATCATTAGTATCTAATCACCTACATCTTCAAACACTAACAGTGTCAAGGTATCCTCCAGTACTCAAAAGTCTGCACACACGTGGAATCCCGTTGTCCCTTTTCAGGATATAAGTTCACTGGCTGCCAGTGGTGAAGCTTAGCATGATCTGTTGCCCTATCTATAATTCTCCTAGAAACATCTGAAGCACTACATCAAAAGGGCAGCAAAAGGGATCAAGTGGATCAGAATTTAATAACTGAGTTTATCTGTTGCTGGTCATAAACTGTGAAGCAATACCTAGGGGTATGCAAGTTATTATTCCCCAATCCCATTCCCTGCAAGACTCCACATGACTTTCTGATGGTAATCTCAACAGGAGTAGACTTTCATTAATTCTCACTTGCTTGTCATTGTGAGTTTCTGCTTTTGCTGCCTTCAGGTTCTCTCTCCTGGATTCAAAATCTAAAAAGCATCAAGGAGCAAAGACAAGGCCATAGTAGATTTAGAAACATCATTGTAGCCACAGAATATTGGCTGTTCTGTGATCTAATCATCTTTTTACTGGATGGCAAAACCCTATTAGGTTGCTTGGACAATGAATTTAACAGTGCCAGTTTATGGCTCAGCTACTGACATTATGTATGCTGATGTTTTAAGACGGGACACCCACCTTGACAGATCATTCAGAGTTACAGGCCGGGCCATGCAAGAGCGTTACCAAACAGGTTTACTCCACAGCATGAACAAACTGTGTTCAGTTAGTCAGTCATCCCAGCCATCCTGTGAGCACAGAATGTGCTTAGCTGCTTTGTAGGACTGGTATTTATCAGAGAACCTCCCATAGTGGACAGGAGGAGGAAGGCAGAGAGTATCACTTCTCACACAACCTCTCATGCCATCATGGTCCTAGAAAAACAGCAGCTTGAGCACTGAGAGCTATTTACGCTTCAAATCTTATTTAAAACTGCTGCTCCTAAAAACTCACCTCATAGGCTTGGTTTAAACACCAGAATCCACTAATCAAAGTATTTCATTCAAATAAGGAAGATTATTGTTAGAAGTGCTAACTAGTGTAACCTGGTCTTCTCTTAGATTCTGAGCAAGTGAGTGGATGAATAAAGCTCAAGGCACAAATCTCATGTAAACTGCAGACTGAGCACATATAAAGTATCAGAAATAAGCACTACTTCTCAAGTCTACACTGAAAGACAAGAACCTGAGGAGAAGACAGGAGAGTTCCTCAGTTCCTCTTTTGGGGCAGTGACTCCTCCATCAGAAGGCACTGAAGGATGCTATACTGGTCCTGAAAGTAGTAGCATACATTAAAAGTTCCTTAAAATGGGGACAGTACGCCATCTCTCATGGTACCTTATGGACACCTTAGTTGGTTCATGCTTTCCTGCAACTGTGTTGGTCGAAGGTGAGTAAAAGTGTATAAGCAATGTAAGTTAGCAACTTCTTGAGGAAAAAGGACTCCTGAACGTACAAGCTGAACTACTGTTGAGCTTTTGTGTAACTCTGAACCAAAGAATACATGGTCACTGCCAAATGATAAATTTAAGTAAAATTAAGAAGAAATGGAACTTGTTTTGTCTTCAGCAGGTAAAGTCTGTATAATTAGTGTGTATGTATACATATATATTTGTGGAGACTGTAAACAAATACTTAAAAGAACATAAAGCTATCACCTTAAGAGCTAACTTATATTTCAAACACCATTTTTGCTTTTAGCTTAACGGGTCCTCCCTCAGGCCCGTGAAAACTGATGCAAGCATTTCCCTAACTCCACGGACCGCCCCAGGAGCTTCCATGCCGCTCCTGCACCTCCGACACTGCTCTGACGATCTGCCCGAGCTGCCGCGAATCAGACACGGCGTGGCTGGTCAGGTCCCGCCGCCGGAGCGGCTCCCGCCCGGCCCCTCCGCCCCGCAGGGACCCCGGAGCCCGCCCGTTCCTCCGCGGGCTGAGCCCGGCGGGGGCTGCGGGAGCGGGGGGGAGGCGGCGGCACCGCCGCACCACGCTCCAGAGCCGCTCCACGCCCCGAGACCCCCACGGCGGCTCCCGCAGAGCCGTCATGCCCCGCCGTGCCCTGGGCGCTGCCGCGGCTCCCGTACCTGCTCCGCTCCGGCGGCCCCGCGGTCCCGCGGCGGCGACAGGAAGCACGGCGGGCCGGGCGGGCGGCCCCGGACGTGCCGGGCCGCGTAGTTCCCGCGGCGGCTGCGCCGAGGAAGCCGCCCGGCCGCTGCGGAGCGCAAGGACTACGGCTCCCAGGGAGCCGCGGGGCGGGAGCGGCCGGCACTGTGTGTCTGCCCAGGCTCCTCTGTGAGGCTGTGGTACGGGATAAGCGTGAACCGAGCGTTGGAAGGAAAAGGTTCGCACTTGCCGGTGATGGCTGATGAGAGGCCACTATTAAAAAACAAAACACTATTAAAAAAAAAAAAAAAAGAACCAACCAACCAAAACAAAACAGAAAAGGAAGCTCACCCATTTTCTTCCATAGTTTTGCAGCCCAGCGGGGTGACAAAATGTGTGCGTAACACTTGCCCAAAACAAACCATGGTTTTCACGTGACTGGCTACGCACCTTCTGTGAGGAATTATGTGAAGTGGGCCTCCTGGCTTGCTTTGGGAGGGATGGAACTTACTGAGCAAAGGACACCAAGCAGACTAAACAAGACAGACAATCTGCCATATAATACATTTGAAAAATTAACTACTTTTAATCCTGGGTTGGTTTTTTTTTTTGTTTGCTTGTTTGCTTGCCTGTTGTATGGGTTTGGGGTTTTGTCTGGATTTTTTTTCTTTTAGTTTTTTTGTTTAGGGTTGGGGGTTTGGGGGTATTTTTGTATGGTTTTGGTTTGTTGGCTTAGTGGTTTTGTTTGGGTTTTTTTTTTAATTTAAATTTGGTACTACTTAAATCAAGTTGGGATCATTCTTTTCATAGTCGAAACACTGGTTAACATCAAACCCCAGGGATATTTATAGCTCATGCTTGGAAAAACTGCTGAATTGCAAGGAAGACAGCAGAGATAGCTTCCCCATGTGAGAACAGTGCAAAACAAGCTACACATAAATCTCACCCTGTACTTCCTGTTCAAGTGAAGCCCAAGCCAGATTGTGTGGCTAGCAGGAGGACTGCCCAACTGTTGTGCAAGAAAACTGCTGTGTAATTGAATTTCAGGCTGTGGATGGAAACAAGGCAGCAGAGACTTAACATCCTAAAATCCAGCTGCACAGAAGGTTGGTTGGACCAAAACTCTCATTTCTACGTATCCCATCAAATTCGCCATCATCTTTTGCTCTGAGCTACTCTTAGAATCCAACTGTACATTGTGGTACTTGGCCACTAGAAGATTTTAGTTGATGAGTCAAGTCTATCCAGCTGCTATCGCAGGAATTTGAAATGCAACCTTTTGTTGGTGCTGTGAAAGTGAATTAAACTGAAAGCCACAAAAGTAGAGTTGCGTGAATAACTGTTTTTTTTTCAGCATGCAAGTGTCTAGTCTTACACTTGCAAGCTTGTCTTGAAAGACATGAAAGCTGTCCATAGTTACTACTATAACAGATACATGATTTAATTGCACTTCTGTATTTAATAGCATTCTTGGTCACCCACTACAATCCTCAGGATTATGCCTAGGAAAAATGTTTTATTGTAAGAACTGCAAGTGAGCCAAGCAGAAGTGTAGAGATTCTTTCTGCTCCCTCCTGAAAACTGCTGCCACAGCTGACTTCACAAAAGGGTGTTCAGTCTCTGTCCTGCAGTGTTTGTGTTGTGGCTTTCTATTCTGATGACACCTTATCTTTTGGGCAAAGAGCGTCTCTTCCTACTTGCCTGGACAGTACAGTGTCTAGAAAAACAGAAACCAAAATTAATTAATGAATTAAAATTAATTTTTAAGCTCTTGGTAAATCTATAAGACAAAGAGAGTATTAAATGCAGCTCTTTAGGAAATTTCCACCTCACACTACACTGCATCTTCCTTTTATTGTCTTGAGGTATACTTCAGTCTGTACTTGCATATATGAAATAATAATAACATGCACAATTTTATAAAACTTAAGCATTATAGAACATTATACTACATGAATCAATAACTTTTGCTGTTGTTGCAAACAAGGGCATGGCTAACAAACTTAGTGGCTTTGCATTTTGTTAGATATAACTCCCAATTCCTTTCTGAAAGATACTATCAGGATAGATTTTAGGACGTAGAAACTGTGTTACACTTAAAATCTTGTTTGTAGACAAAGAGAAAGCAAGCCTTATATAAAACTAAAGTCAAGAATTTGTTGAAAATGTAACCAAAATCCCAAGTGTCTAATTATTTTTAGTCCAGCACTATTTCTTACAAAAAAAAGAGAAAGAATAATGGTGTATATGCACACGCTTACTTTCTACCCCTTTTTCTGCTGCTATGCCTGCCCCCACTCTTCTGCAGCCACTCTGGGTCCTGAGGTTGGGGGTTTCATTCTTGGATGGTAGTGAGAGGAGGGGACTTTACAGCAGATTGTCAGCATCTGGAGCCCACCTCTGGAAGGAATATGATGTTTAGATTGCTAGTTTCTTCTTCTTCACTTTGAGGGACTGCACTCACACTTGTGATTAATTCTTAGGTTTTTCTGGTTGTCTGAGGCTCCATATTACATTTGAAAGTACTATATAAGATACTGTTTAAATATCTTGGATTTTTTGTTCTGCTTTCCCTCTAGGTGACTCTGAGTGGGGCTCCTTGGGTAAAATGACCTGAAGGGAAGTCCCTAAACGATTTGTGCTGTTAGCAGCCTTAGTTTTAACTTCCCAAAGAAGCCTTCAAGGACTGGACATTGATTTGTTCAACTAATTGAAAAAATTTGTTACAATTATGTTCTTGCCATTCTCAAATTTCATCATTTGCCTTCTCCTGGTGTAGTGGAAAGTAATTTGGAGGGAGTACATAGTATCCTACAATGAGCAGGATCAAAGGAATAAGGAAAGAAAATAACTATTATCACATGACATCTGATTGTATCTAAAATTAACTGAGATCTCCTGCTATTGATTACAGATCCTCTACCTGACTGCATTCTTAGTCGTCCCCCATGTATCCCATTAAAGTTATTAACCTAAAATATATCTCTTTGAGTGAAAAAGGGAGTGCACAACATGAAGTTACTAGAAAAGCTGATGGAAAGGAGGATGAACAAGCTGAAAGCTTTCAGTTTGGCTTAGACATTCCAGAGTAGCACATCTGCCATTAGCCATAAATTTCTCAGGAGAACAGACACACTTCTCTTTTTTCATTAGGATGATCCAAAACAGAGCTTCGGTGCAATGAAAACAGTAGCCATTTTTTCTCACAAAGCAGCCTATTCTGTTTCCTTGTTTAGACAAAAAGATGGTGTGTTAAGGAGTTTGCACAGTGGGTGAAGTTTAACTCATGAGTCTGCTCATTTCAGGTGCTGCTTCAGGAACATGTGAATAGCTTTATACACTTTCCTAAGAGATGGTCCCATGGCAAATTCTTAATCCTTGGACATTGTATGTTTTGCTGAATACTTATGGAAAACTAATAACTGCCTGTAGCCATCTTTACTACTTGCATGAAGCACAGCATGATACATATCACCTAGTCGTGCAGTTTTAACCTCACCGTGGGACAGAGAAGCTGCTTAAGTTTCTTAACTGCCTTATCCTGTCTTGATGCTCCTGAAAAATGAGCGGTTAGAAAGGACAGGGCTTAACTGACAATGTTTAAGGGGAAAATAACCAAAGCATTAGTTCAGAGACCACTTTCCAAAATTCTCCAACTGCTGCAGGAATTTGACTTAGTATGCAAAGCTCCTACTAGACGTTCAGAATTCCATGTCTGGTGTGACTTCTCTGCAACAAAAGACAGAAGTTCTCAAACAAGTTTTTCAGGTAGTTTTCCTGATGAAGAAAATCTGTTTCGCACAGTGGAGCAGCTTAATTAGTATTATCGGGTTTATGAAATGGCATATACTTCCTGTATGTTTTTCTGAACAAGCATTGTTGGATTATTCCACAGCATGAAGAGAGATACAGAGAAGACACACACTGCACTAGCAGCTGAGAAGTGTCAGAGTACGTGCCACCATTTTAATAGATGTATTGAACTGGTGTGAGTCCATCAATATTCTCCTGCACTCCAGCAACACCTTCTAAGCCAGGAATGTATCTTTTTTTCTTTTCTCTATCAAGTCTGGTATTACAAAAAACGGCGGAAAAGGGGTGTTGTGCTTAAGTTTGGGGGTTTCTTTTATTTTGTTTTCTAAACATATTAACTGTTTAACCTAATTTAATGTTTTTTAGAACAAAATTTCAGGAAAGGTGTATGTGCTGTTAGTTATTATGCTAACGCTTGAAAAAGTGTTTGTAAGCAGTAAAATGATTAATGTCTTAGTTGAGGTTCGGCCAGAGTGTGGATTTCCCTGTTATCAGACGTTCGCCAAGCAAGTCCCGCAGGAACAGCTCTACGTGAGGGAATTCGGGAACGCTGAGGGAGTCGGGCGGGGCCGCCGTCAAGCCCGCGCGCCCTGCCGCCGAGCCGCGCGCCCATTGGTTGGTCGCGGGTCACGTGGATCACGTGACCAGCGGGCTGCACGTGTGCGGTGGCCGTACGAGGGTGTCGGTGCGCGGCGCCATCTTCTTTACTTGCCGAGCTCCGGCCGCCGAGGGACCGTGGTAGGACTGGGGTAGGGTGCCGCTCTTATGGAAGCGAGAGGCTTTTCCCGGGCAGGACCCCCCTCCCTCCCATCCCCACCGGCGCAGAGGCGCGGCTGGGCCGCCCTCCCGCGCGCAGGCAGAGTCTGCGAGGTTCGGTGCGGGGCGCCATTTTCTGTCCTTGTCGGACGCTCCGGAGTCGGGCGGGAGGCGGCTGCTGATGTGTTCTGTCTCTTGCAAGCAGGTCTGG